AAAACAACAAAACTACATTAAAATGTTTGTACACAGAGTTACTGTACTGAGAACAAAGCACCAACAAAATGCTTGTGCGCCACACATTTGAAATGCAAAGCAACACAGGCAGATACAGTTTTATACATATAAAGCACATGAAACCAGGTTTTAGGAACCAGATACCATTTCATTCATTGCTTGATGTTAGAAGAGTTACCTTGGTCTATACAGAACATCTGAACTTACGGAAATTCTGGTGAGACGAGCATGCTTGTTAAGAATAGTGACGGTGAATCTGCAATGAGTATGAATATTGGAAATCTGCACCCAAGAAAAAGTGGTTCCAAAGACTAATTGGATAATGGCAAAACAAAGGGGGTACTTTATGAATTATCACGGCATTTCAATGGCCACCTGGGATGCCACCAATGTGGAAAAGAGTCTTCCCCTGGGGGCAGGGCCTCAGGAAGTTTGCTTCTCAGGAACCAGGCCAGGCTATTTCTGATGGTTCTGCTCATTTGCTGATGTGGAGGGAGCCCAGGCCAGAACATTGGCCTCAGAGATTTGAGCTGCAGTTCAAGTCAAGCTCACACCAACCCTGAGGGCTCAACTCAGCTCATACGTTGCAGCTGAGGTGGCCTCCATCTTCCCTCCCATGCTTCTTGACATACAGGTATCTCTTGGAAACTCAGTTGGATTTGAACAGAGCCTCTTTGCTCACAAAGGCCAATGGAATGCACGTGGTTGAACCATAATATTATGATAAAAGCTTCCAAGAGGAAAGGAGTTTTCATTTCAAATCACTGCCTTCATATAGCAATGTAGCCATTGCCTCCTGGAACTATAAAAGAATGTTTTTCAAGAAGGGAAAGCTAAAATCCCATGAAGAACAACAAGCCAGACATGTAACACATGCACACACACACATACACACACACAGGCAACGTGTCCTATTTCTGCAGTTATGGCCTGCCAAATGGTCCAGTGACACGGTGTTGGTGAGCACCCCCACACACAAAGCATATGATGACAATTAAATTCCCGTTTGTATCCTGGTTACTCAATAAATATTTTCCATGACACTTAAATATACAAAGTTTCTGTTTAAAATATGCATGAAAATGTCTTCTTTTTTTCAAGAACAAGAGAAAGGTTTATAGAGTCACATCTTCATTTACAACATGTTGGGATTATTTTTCTGGTTCTTATATACAGGCTAATGGGAATGTTAGGAAATACTTCAAATGAGTGCACAAGACACGAATGTGCCTCTTAGATACAAAGCAAACACACACTGTAGACCAGGCAGAAGACACCCCTGGCTAGTCTCAGGGGTATTTTTCAAGTGTCAGTCAATGACTTACTGGAAAAATGGGTGGAGTCATTTGTTAAACCGCATTAAGACACAGAGGATATTATAAAAGTGCTCCTCCACAAAAACTACCTCTGTCCTTCTTACCATTTGTCAGTGTGGGGTATGGAAGGGCCCACAAAACATGTAGGGTTGGTTCCTCTTTGAAAACCCATCAATATTTGCTTAGATTTGGATTTCATTCCTGTCCTATAGACTGGTCTAAAGCAGATTTACCAAAGACTCCACATTTCAGTATTTTAATGTAAGAGGCAGAGAGAGAGAAAGAGTGAGAGAGAAAGAGAAGAAATATACATTGCAATCAATGAAAATATTTCTTCAGTCAATAATAACAAACCCCTCCAAAAAAAATAAAAGGAAAAAGAAAGGAACAAAAAAGGAAAAAGATGACTCTAAGAAAACACCCTGACTCAAGTGTTCTGGGAAATTTCTTGAACAGAAATTTGTTCTTCATATTTATAATAGTTACAGCAACATCTGAAGATGTTTGCCACTGCCAGGCCTCCAACTAAAATTCATTGAAAAATCCTGATATAAACTGTCTCATCTGCCTGCAACCACTCCACTTGCTCCAAAATTATGTTGTAAAGATCAAAACACTGCTCCACAAAGTTATACAATTGGACAAATGAATTCAACAGACTAATATTTATACTGCCATGTAATAATGCAGTTATTATAATATCATGGTTTCATAATACAGCATGCCTTTCCAGATGGCATGTTTTAAATCAGAACACATCTATTTTTGTTAATCTGTTATGTCTTAAAAGCATGAACAAGTACAATTCAGAAGCTCACATTTAATTCAACTATTCATTTGTTTAGAGAGAGAAAGAGCCCGAGCAGGAAAGTGAAAGCCAGAGGCAAAGAGAGAGAGAGACAGATAGAGAGAAACAAGTAACAACAACAACTACAGCCACAGCCACAACCACAAGAACAGAAAAGAAACCAGTCTCTTCTTTGGAGGATCCTAAGAATTTGTCACTCAACTAACCAACTGTGCCAAGGGGAAGAATTTTAAGTATCTTCTGATCCCAAGAAGCATGGTATCTGAGCCTGGTCTCTCTACTGGGCTCACTTTTGACATATTAATTTTATCTGAAGACAACACTACCTCAAACAATCTTCAGCAGCCCTACTCTGATGAAAATAGGAATAAAAACAGCAATTTGTAGACTTGAATAAATGTGAGAGATTTCATCTCAGACATTTCTCTTACTAAAATATCCAGAGTAGAATCATCCAGGAAGAAAACTATTTGACAAATTGTCTTGAGATAGAATCAATCTCATTTGTAACATTTGTGGGTGAATATGATTGATTAGTGAGGATGGTTTTGAAATAGTGAATCACCAGATGATAATGAACACATTTCTAGCTCTCTGTATCCATGCAAACTGGTCCATTGCCTAGGGGGACTGCGAGTCCCTGTGTGAGTGTAATGTCAATTAAACCAGACCCACATGTGCCATTCTCCAGTCAGGAAAAACATTACAGCAATACCACGAGGGGTAGAAGAGCCCCCCAAACCCTGTTATTGTGCTGGCCACAGAAAGGACTGTGGAGGCAAAAGAAAGACAGGCCAGAAAGAAAGAATATGACATGGGTCTCCTCCAGGGCTAACATTCGACCGTGGACACAGGCTCGAACAGAACATGGAAATATTTAAAGAAAAATAGGATTTTAGGGCAAGTTCTTCAACCTTTCCAGATACAAACCTCTTATTAACTGCAGAAGATGCATAGGACCAGGAGAACAGGGACTTTGAGACTTTCTATTCTACTCTCAGCATAATTTATGATGAGAAGTTCTAATAAAAATGTGTGTGTGTGTCTTTAACGAAAACCTCATTCTCTTATAAAATATACTAAAGTTTATGCCTTCTTCTTAGCGACCTTGGTTTTCTTTATATTGGGTAGTAAAGGGAATTATTTTCATTTGGATGCTCATTTCTGAATATTAATCGTGTAATTGATACAGGAGACATTCTGGTTTGAATTCAGAGCTAGGACAGTAAGTAGATACTTTTAACTAAAAACACATGTTAAATAATAACTTCGATCCCTAATAACGTAAAAACCTTTTGAACAACAATGAGGAGATGGGAGAATTACTGAGTTTCCATATTACGAGAAAACACAATACATTTTGGATAGAGACCCTAATGTTTCCTAATAATACAAAGGCTGTCATTAGAAGGAGCAATAGTAAATAATTTATCCAAGTTACATTTACAAGTTAGAAATACCACTTGGACATTTAAAAATACAATAATAATAAAATTACACTTACCTATCCTTATTTTAAACCAATCTTGAGGGTTTTCTAAGTGCTTATCTCACTTCCATTTTACCTTCGAGATGTAGAGATGACCAAACTACCCCCACTGATCCATTTGGGCTCAAGAGGGCTTCATTCTTTTCAGCTATCTCCTGCTTAAAACCCATACCTCTAGGGCCTCATCATCAGCTATCTACATTCATAGAGAATTGATTTATATTTAAAAATGATGTAATAGTTTATCATTGAAGTGTATGTGTGTGCACGCACATGAGTGTGTGTGTCCACATTAACATAAACGTGAAATCCAAACCCTCTTTGACTGGTTGCATTCAAGTAGTATGTTGGAGCTGGCTTGCCCAGTCTTCCAACTTTGTGTGCATCTCTATCCAACTCTGTGTTCAGTGACATCATAATTAGTAGCTTGAAATTAGCCATGGTGGGAGTATTTATACCATGGAAATTGGCAAATGCTACAAATCAAGTGCTTTCTATTCTCAGAGAGCTGGTTGTTAAACATTTTACGGGTACACCACTGGTTGCATGCCAAGCTGACCAAAACAGAAGCTAGCTCTTCATCTGGGCAACATGGCACCAACTCAGCCTCTTTGGGGGTTTCTCCCATTCTGCTTCCTGCCCAGGGGCTCCTCTTCCACTGATTTCACAAGTACTGCAGAACCACAGAAGGGCATGAGCCTCAGGGATGCATTTGGCTATCCATTATCACCCTGCTGGGCTCTACCCTCAGAGACACTTCTCCTACTTGGTAGCCACAGGAGTGATGCAGGCCAAAACCAAATAGGTAAAGTATTTGCAATTCTTATTAAGCTCCAGCTATGGCAGCTGGCTTCCTGCTGCAGAGGCTTGAGAACAATGAGTCCCTCAGTAGGAGCAAGCTCTCTCCAGCTGAAAGCATCCACTGGGGCATTCTTCAGGAGGTTTCCCACAGCTGGCCTGCATGCTGCTGCTCACCAGCAAGTGCTGGCAGGCACTGGGTTTGCAACTGCAGCTTCCTGCCAGGGGCCTGGTAACAGGCTTCCTTTGCTTCCCCCTTCCCTCCTCAAAGTCTGGTACAAATCAAAGAGCCAACAAAATTGAGGTCACTGGCAAAAGAGTTTGAAATTTTGAATGATTTTTATTAAACACCATTAGTCTACACTGCACAGTTAATGAAACAGCAAAGCTCCAATCTCTTAGAAGAACGATGATTGATCATGGATCAGAAAAGCAGTTCAGTGTCCCCTAACCCAATGTGAGCCTGGTGAATGATTCATTAACATCTCATGTCAGAAGCAGAAAGGGGCGAGAACTGCAGCCTGGCCTGGAAGGGCTTTCCCTACCCTCCACCCCCCAACCCCCACCCCCACCCCTCTCAGCCCACCCCTCAATGCAACTTTCTTTTGAGTCGATGGATTACAGAGGAAAATGTGATGCTCTTGGTAAAGAGGGCTTCTAGATTTATGAGAAGTAGAATGGAAAGGGAATTAATACTTTTTCTTTCCCCAAAAATATCAGATGGTACGATTGATGTCTGAACCCAGCCTATCTGATTAGCCTCCTGCCAGGGTAACTGCTGATTATCAATACACAGATGCCATTTCTGTTGTTGGAGTTTGCTAACACCAAAGAGAAAATGAATCCGAGTTTAATTATGAGAATAAGGCTGTGCGAGTGGAAATGAGAAAGAACAACAACAACGATGACGAAGAAGAAGAATTTAGTCTGCCAGTCACATAACAGAGCAGTGACAACTGGCTCAATGTTTTCCCCACAGAATTGAATTTGGGGGCACTGAATCGACCCATTCATTTGACATTGTGTAGCTATAGCATCTCGCCACACATTTTCTCAATGGGGATAGTGATGCTTCTCTAAGCAAGCAGTTCATTGCCTTACTGAGTAGTCCTACCCAGTGATCCAGTTTGGTTCTCCCACCTGCCAACTCATGCAGGTGAATTTATCATGTCTGTTGAGAAGTACGTGAGAGCTTCACTCACAGCTAAATCGATTCTGCCTTCAAAAATGCTTTCCAACTTCATACTCCAACTTCAACCTCTAGGATGCAAATTTGAATAAAACAAAATCTGAATTAGATAGCTTTGGGAAAAATACGATAAAACAAGTATCTTTCCAAAGCAGACCCAATCCAACGCATTTAGTGATGTGATGTCCAAATGAAAACCCATCCATTTGGAAACTCAACAAAACACCTTTTAGCTAATGTCTTCTAATTTAAGTAACTTGGTTAGTGACTGAAGATTTGCATCTTTTTATGTCATGACATGGAAAAATGGCATCCCGACCTCAAGTCTTTTCAAAGTTAGCAGCAGCTAATCTGCTTTTCCAATTATGTCATCCAAATGTAAAACTACTAGTATTTTCCCAATGAGATTATTAAGCAATTAACAGTCTACAGGCTGGCTAACAACATGCTTACGGCTAAATTCTACCCCGAGGCCACACTAGTATACTCTTTTCAAATTAATCCTACCTACCCAACTCAGACAGTAATATGACAAAACCACTAAAAAATCCAAAGTTAATTAAAAATACAAAGCCAAGCCAACACCATAACACAAATTTGTCAAACTCTCTGTGGTTGGAGCTTGGGTGACAAAGGAAGGCATAGTGGTGGCCCTACCTGGGTCACGTTGCAGGGCTGAGATCCTTCTGTGTACTTGCTCAGGTGGAGCTGCCCGTTACTCTGCCCGTTACCCTACCTCCATGTGCTTATTGGGATGTGTCTCACCACGCCTCCGTCAAGGTCTCAAGGCAGGATCTCTCACTGCCATCCACGTGTCTTGTATCCCTCCCACAAACTGGTACACTGAAGAGATTTACTTGACAAAATATCTCAATCCTTCAAATAGCTGCACACCTACGACACACATCACCATTTACAATGTGATGGATAGAGTGCCTAGAAAACAGCAACAATCCTTAATCATGAAACCAAAAGACGTCTCATCTCCAGGGATAGGAAGGCAATTCATCCTCCATGTTTAATTGGTTTCTAAGCTGCTTTACAAATGGGTCTACTAAATAATCAGGTGGTGATCCTGAGCTCGACTGTCAGATTTGATAATCATGCTGCTGACTTGGCACACACTTTACACTCAGCCACCAGAGGTGACATCAGGCAACAGGCTTCTCTGCTGCCTCTCTGTTGTATGTAAAGTAGATGTAATGACTCGCTGAAACTAGAGCTGCAAGTCTTTCATCCATGAGGCAACATGCTTGTTTCCCTGGGAAACTGCCCCTAGCATTCTAATGTCTAGTTTCTGGAGATTGAATTTCAAGAAGAATCTACTCCTAAATCCATGATGGTCTAGGATTGTGGTCTAGGTTGAACTTACAAGTCAAGCCAGTGGGCTTCATTATATAGTAATAGTCAGACACTCTACCTGGTAAGCCATGGAAAACAAACTGAGAACTTGAATCACTGCAAAGCCATCAGCTTAATTTTTATATGTGACACCCTCCTTGGGTGTTCAGAGTCTTTCATATTATCATTTTCCTCATTTAAGAGGCTCAGAAAAGATTCTCTCAAGTTTCACTTATCTGTATGTGTGTCTGCTTGTGTGAGTGTTGTTGCTGAGACTGCGAACGTAAAGCTCAACCACACTGGGAGCATAAAAAGTGCTGGGTCAGCTGCTGGGATGCTCCCCGCAGTCATCTTAACAGCTTGGCCTCAGCCATTGGAGTACAACTTCCACAACCTTATTATACAACAAAGGGCCTTAAACTCAAAGATGACCAGAGCGGAGCTGGTCTGGCTCTTTTGCAACTGGTGATATATCTAACCTTGACAATGAAAGTGCAGAGTGATCCCTTGCTGTTCCTATTACAGACTTGCATGACTTGCTTTAAAAATCATACAAGTTTGCATCTTTCATGTGCATATATCTATTATTTATCTCGTCATGACTCAGTGAACAGAATTCAATAACTCAGCAGATTAAAGGCTATGTGGAATTAAATACTGGCAGGTAATTACAAGGAACTAATGTGTGGATAGTGTTGACTACATGTGGGAGATTCTTCTGGTGAGCTGGAATATCAAAGATGATATTTACATTGTGATGTTTAGGGACATAAAATGAATGTAGAGGATCATAAGGGGTGGGGATAGTCGCAACTGACGTGGAAATGCCTCCAAATTAGGTGAACTGTTCCCAATCTTCAGGGCTTTTTCAAAGCACCCTAGGGTGAAGCATTACCCCAAGACTCATTGTTTGTTAAAAGGCTAGATACTATGTAGAGAGTTTGGAGTTTTCTTTGGAATTTTCATTGAAATGATTCATGCTAATACAGACTTGAATAAAATCGTTGATTGTATTTCAGTCAAAAGCTAATGAGCCAAAAAAAAGGAAAAGAAAAGAAAGAAAAAAGAAAGAAGAAGAAGAAAAAAAGAAACCCTGTAAAATAGAGAATGAGAATAATTGGGCAAGTCCAGATTTTAAAGCCACTAGGAAGCAAACTGTATATTATTACGTCTAGGTAGTGATAACTTGACTTTTGTTTCCAGAGATTTGAGCAAAATACAATAAAAAAATCCTGCCAGTTATGGCCCCACCTACCAACTGCAAAAGAGGCAGAGGTGTGAATTCCTTGGACATTTTCCAGACCTCTCTTATCTCTTATCTGTGAAACTGGAGTGTAGCGTTTTGGCTACTAGGGCGCGCACCCACTAAACTGCCCCTGAAAAGGAGAACTTTACACAAAGAGAATCTCAGGTGAGAATTTATGCTTCAAATCATGGAGTTCAAAATACTTATGCCAGCTGATAACTTTAAGTTGTCAAAATAAATGTTGCCACTCCTTCTCATCATTAAAATTTTAAAAATAGGGAATCAGGAAAGGGATGCTAAAAAAGAAGTCCTCTGGTTGTGTGCCATAGTATCATCTTAAGAGTGGCATTGCTATGCTCGTTTATTTTCTTAACACTCTTGAGTTCATGATGTTGCTACAACCTCTAACCAGTGGGTTTTGACAATGAAAATTCTCACCTGAAGATTGAGTCTGTGGGAACCACAAAAGTTTAACAATGGATTCTGAAAAACTTCTTTTCTGGACATAAAAGTACAGTTTGGGGAATGGCTATTGCTGAAAATTTGAATCTTTGCAGGTCCTTTGTGTCTAAGTTCTCATATCTTTATGTAAGACATCGCATTTCATTTCTCAAGAACCTGTTATCATCACAAGTTCTTTCCATTCTTTGTTTTGGGTAGTGTGGATTGAAAACAATACTGTAGGGACTGTGTCATTCTATCAAGCAAAAGGATGGTGGGATCTGAGAAATGCATATAAAATACTGAAAAATGACTAAGTAATAAAACACACTGTTCTCAAGTTGTAGTGTCCACTTACAATGACTTCTGTTTTTCACAGATATCAAAAGAAACATAAAAACAAACATAATCAAAGAGAACTTTCCCAAATGAGTGGAGTTCCACCAGTGACCGTTGGTGCTCTGGTAGAGGTAGAGTGATGAGTGGTGATGCTGGAGATGGGGGAGCACCCACTACAACAAATGGGCATCGATGCGCAGCCAACACAGTCCCTGGCGAACGTAGCGGACAAGATTGGTCATGCTGCTGTGCTGGGTCAGAGGCCCCATCAACGTGTCCAGATCACCAAAGAATTCTGAAAGTCAGAGCAGACCTTGGTCAGGTCTTCAAATGGTATCATGGAAATATGTACCAGATTGCTTAAGGTGCCTTAACAAAACCACATGGACATTGGAAAAGTTATTCATTGTTCATTCATTCATTCAACAGAAATTTATAGAGCACCTACTAGGGGGCCAAAACTCCACATGTATGTCAAGCACTATTATTTTAATCTTCAGTTAGCTCCCAAAACTCCACAGCATAAATAATGTTTGAAGTGTTCTTATGATTAATAAAACACAAATACATTTAAATTTGTTAATTCATAGTAAGTTTTTTCAAATAGCTACGTATTTTCTCAGACAGTGGATTCTAAAAGTACATTACAATCCTGTGGAAGTTTGTGAGATACACACGCACATATATCACAATATGTATATATTATATATAAAAATATATTTGTCTATATATTTATATAATAAAGATATATAATATTTACATATATTAAAATATACACATAAATTATGTTTATAAATAAAATGCATTTAAATCTATTTTATATTATATATTGAATTTATATTTTTTTATACTATAAATTTATATTTAGAAAAGGGTTCTTATACACAAAATGGTAGGGAGACATGGTCTACAGTATATCAGGCTGTTTGACATTCTATGTGTTATTGAATTGAAAATATTTTCTTTTCATTTTGTCTAAACGAACTGAGTTTACCGATTTTTCTTAGCATGATGTAGACACAGCCAGTGAACCTGGACAGCAATTATAATCATCAGCATCTAAGGCCAAATAAACGTCTAGAAGGCATCTGACTTGGCAAGTCTTATTAGCAATTCCTTTAGGGAAGGAAAACAACCTGCAAGTATCTGTCACAAAACAACTTTCCCCGCCCCCCAGGACATAGATGGTAAGAGTGCCGGGCTGATTCCCCTCCAGCTGTCTAGGGGAAGGGGCGGCACTGAGGCCACACTGCTAACCAATGTGACTGGAGCTTTAGACTGTGTGCTTTGTGGGGGGAGTGGGGAGTATGTGGGGAAAACTATTTGATGTCTAGAAACTAGCTAGACGTCCCCTTTTCACATCTGAATGGATTTGTCTGACACTGCGTTCATCTTGGTTATGAGAGGGCACTTCGTTAGCTCCCCACAGAGGAGGCAGCCTCAGCCATGAGGAAATCACGCCTGTGCTGGTTGGGGGTGAGGAATTTGGTGTGTGTGGGGGCACTGGAGACTAGCTTAAAGTGGTTGGGATGCTCTCCTGCCTTCTTGGAAAGCAATTTCCATGCATGGGTTACACACGCTTGATTGCCCAGCAGATGGTATTTCACTAAACAATGCATTTATTCTTCATGTTATGTATAACATATGGGCTCCTTCTCTAGGTATCAACTTCATTTGATTATGTGATACTTTCTAACCTGTACTATGCAATAAAAGTAATTTCTGCTGATAAAAGAGTAAATTATTTTTGGCATCTAAAATATTTTCTTATGTAATACAATAGTAAGGAAAATGTTAAAGGACCTAGTCATTGTTGAATGAATGTGAGCCAGGATGTCCCCTGGGTATTCTGTACAAAGCCTGCTGTGGCACACTTAACTAGATACTCAGGTCACCATTTTAATAACTGCTTCAAGTAAGCAGCTGGGAGGTAGGGAACAGGGCTTTTAGACCAAAGGCCAGGGGGCAGCGTCAGCCACACTGGCCCATTTTAGCACTAGAATCTTCTGCAATAAGCCATCTGCAGCTGCATGGGTGGGCAGGCACAGGGTGGGGGTGGAGACGTTCCACTGGGAGAGCGAACCTCACCCATCTCTGTTGCACAATTGGGTGGGAAAAGGCACAAGTACATGGTTGTCTCCAGTGGGATGCAGGTTACCAAGCAAAAGGGAAGCTTCTCAGTTTCCCCTTTTTTTTTTTTTTTTTTTTTTGTGAGGGAGATCAGCCCTGAGCTAACATCCATGGTAATCCTGCTCTTTTTGCTGAGGAAGACCGGCTCTGAGCTAACATCTATTGCCAATCCTCCTCATTTTTTTCTTCCCCAAAGCCCCAGTAGATAGTTGTATGTGATAGTTGCACATCCTTCTAGTTGCTGTATGTGGGACGCAGCCTCAGCATGGGCGGAGAAGTGGTGCGTTGGTGCGTGCCCGGGATCCGAACCCGGGCCTCCAGTAGCGGAGTGCGTGCACTTAACTGCTAAGCCACCGGGCTGGCCCTCCCCATTTCTATGTAGATAAGAAAGATGTGGGAAGAACGCCCAACTCTAAGCAGTTCAGAAATGACAAGTGTGTGAAACTCAAGGCTGCAAACAGAAGATTCCAAACTAGGTCCACTGAAAAGCCTGAAGACAATATTAGCAGGATACATTTCCTTTCTCTTGGTAGAGTAACGGAGTTGTTTTGATTCAATATTAGGCAAGGAATTTAACAACTCCTTGACACACTGTGCTGGGACAAGATTAGCACCATCTCATTTGAACATCAGCACAGCCACGGTGTTGCTCCTGGAAGGTTCTGTGGTTAATTTAGAATTAATTACTTCAACAGATTTTGAAAATGGATGCAATTATGAAGGACATCCATAAATATTGAACTGCCCTCCAGTTACCAATACAAAATGAGATAGTAGTGGAGGCAGAAAAACTAGGCAAGTCTTAAGATGCTTATGCCTTCCCTTGCACTTCTAGAACCCTCGGACGGGCCTGGTTGTCTGGGCCAGTTTCCTCTTTGGATTTCCAGAAGCCTAGAAAAGTAGACAAGTTAATAAATGCCAATTACTCAGGTAACTGAGGTCAGGAGCTCACTGAAGGTCTCTGAGGACCCATTATGAATCTTGCTCTCTAGATGGGCAGTGTAGCCTATTGGTTAAGAGTTCAGACTCTGGAATCAGATAGTTGTAGATTCAATTCCTGCTCCTAACAGTAAGAGCTATGATATCATGAGTGAGTTTCTTGACCTCACCGAGCCTCAGTTTCTTCATCTACGAAATGGGGATAAATGAGACAACAAATGATAAAGCGCACAGTGCAGTGCCTGGCATATAGAAATTGCTGCACAAACGCATGTAACCAATACATGCAAACAGTCCCAGGAGTCAGTGTAAGTGTATAGCTGGGTTGAGGGTCGAAGTCTCAAATTATGGAATGTGCTTTGATAGCCACGGAATCTTTGAGTTATATAGATATATAATAATATGGAGTAAGGAAAGAGAATAAATGTTTGTAGGCTTTCTACCTTGCATCTGATATTTTATGCTAGGGGATTTACATATATTATTTCATTCAACCCATTCCTATCATCCTTCTGGGTAGTTTCATCATCATCATCATCATATTATTATTATTAGTGTACCTGTCCTAGAGATGGAGGCTAGGAAGTAGGACACAGATTTAAGTAACTTGCCTGAGGTCGCCCAGCCAGTGCATGAGCCAGGCAGGATTCAAACTTAAAGGATCAGATTTCAAAATCTGCAGCCTTCCTACTCCAATGGGACTGTTTCCCCACACACTCAACAATGCAGTAGTGAAGCGGCAGCAAGGAGGAGGGGCCTCATTCCATAATCAGGCGCTGGAGAGACTAGAGCAGCAGCTTTTCAGAGAGAAGAGAAGCAGGCAAGAACGCTGGGGTTGGAGTGGAAAGGAGAGGACAGCTGCCTGGGCCTTGAGGACTCTGAGGCTTAGGAGAAGAATTGGGCCAGGAGACCCAGTAAGTCCTTTTTGACCAAGCCCATGGGAACTGCTACCTGCAACTAGGTGGCCTGCAGCCCCAACCTGATTCCAGAAAAGCCCTATCAGTGCTTGGGACCTAGCAGCACCCAAGCCCACTCCATGCAATTTGCATCACATCATGCCCCAGCAGCAGCCCCTGGGCCGTGCAGGATGCTAATGCCTCCCTGTTCCTGGCCAGACATTTCTAACTTGTCTAAACTGCTGGTCACCTCTTTGCAGTCTAATTCTGAAAGGCCCACATCTGTCCCCACCTTGACTGGAGTAGGGCTGTCTGTGACTGCTGGGCCAGGATCAGCCACGTCAAATGAATGGCCAGAGCAAAAGTGTGGTTTATTTTTACTTCCCACCTTCATTAGGATGTGAGGCTTCATTGTGCATCTCCACGACAGCTAGGGTCACAGATGGCAGCATGAGTCGCCAAGGACACTCTGGTGAAGCAGGGTCCTCCTTGCATTTGTTTTGTAGCAAACCTCATGTGTTACCATGAACAGGACCCTGATTCTTCATCCCAGCTGTCAGTGTGTGAAAAATACTAGCTGAGCTTTGGTCCTTGCTTCTGAATGCAAGCCACATGATCACGTACTCACTGGAACTGATGATTATAACGAAGGTATAAGGCCTTAGTTTAACCTCACCTCTCCAAAAAAAAGATTAAAGTTGAAAACAGAAGCCAATAGGATCTTAATTAATTTGCAAATCATTCTTTTTTCCTTTGCCTCTGTTTCTTTGTGTTGATCCTTACCAGAGGGAAAATCTGAAACAGTCATTTGTCAACACATCACAATTCAGATTAATTTAAACTTTAAAGGAGAACTAAATCCCAGGCCTTTTTCACTCTCTCAGCAAAAATTGGTCATTTTGTCAGCCCTGAGTTAACCCCCCGTTCCCTCATCTAAGCCCTAGAAATCAGAGAGACAGAAATATAAGGCCACTGAGGACAACTCAAGTCCTTCAAAGCACAGTTGACTCCACCATGGTCTGCAAGCAATGGGGAGAGCAGGTGAGCATACCTTTGTTCTCTCTTGTCAGTTTGTCGGCCATGTCCCAGTGTTCGTAGCCCCGTAACACATTGCTAGTGATGTTGACGTGGCTGGCAGCCATGTGGTGAATGCGCTGGGGGATGGTGACTGGGCCGTTGTTACAGTTCCCCATTGAGTTGATGGGAGAGACGTTGTTGAGAGACACTGGAGACGGAGTGTTCCTAGGGAATGGGAAGGATCAGACCTCGTTAAGCTGGTTGGGAAGAGTGACAGCAGGGCTCTACGCCTCCCTCATCACACTGGGACCTCAGGAGAACACCATTTGCCACAGCGAGGTTTAGCATGGTGAACATATATGAAGCCCAAGTGGAGTGGAGCTTGTTCCCACATCCCACTGACTTTCCTCAAAGGACATCTGATAGCTTTTGCCAACATAGTAGCTTTCTTCAGAGGCCCCATGGTAGAAAGAGCTTATTATCACCCCATTCCTGCCTCATCTGACCAACCCACACAGGGCTACAGCGCCAGGCTGTAGAATGAGGCATCCCTGTCTTTTTCTAACGTTGAACACTCAAGTGTCCCTGCTTTTGACAACCATTGATGACTCCATGAGTACTGCTACTTTTGTTTTAAAATACCAGAGAGAGCTAAGTGAGTTTTTTTCTGGCATTAATTCTACCCACAAATGTAGTACTTTGAATATATATAACAAGTATCGTGATGTTTCAGAGAAAGAACGAGCTCAGAGCTATGATGATTTCTCTACCTGCTGCCAGAATGGCTATTGGCAGTTAGAAAACATTTGATATGCAATATCGGTCTATTATCAAAGTGTTTTGTGGAAACCACAATGACAGTTTGCTCCAAATACGTCACCACAATAAGCAAAGTGCAGTTCTTAAAAGCCCCCCAAGGAACAATAATAGAGAAGGTGGAAAAAGTAAGATTCTGAAGATGTCTTGAGGACGTTTTAAGACACGCTAACAGGGATGGCTGTTAATTGCTGACTGTTCACCTGCACACTGGTTTATAAAGAGAAGTCTTCAGAGTTCCTACTTAGGCAGTACCAATGTTCAGAGATACATTTTTGGTTAATTCTTTAATGTCAGCAACAAGGAGCCAACTGCTGGCTGCACATAGCAAGGAGGGCCTGGACTTAGGTTGCCCTGCTGCAGACTTGCCCAGGGACAGTCCCAAAGGCATGGGTGGCTTCCTGTGCCCAAGAGCAAGGTCCGTGTGTACCCAGCCTTCCTATCCTCTTTCAGCCAGGCTTTGAACAAGTGCCCAGGCAAATGTACCGCTTTATTATGACTGAACATTTTGGGGGAGTAAAAGAAATGGAGGAAAGCTGTGTTTGGGACTCCCTGAGTCTGCAAGTTTGAAGAAACCTCCTCCTCATTCCTCCGAACACACTCGTGCACATCATCAAGGAACTCTCTCTCACTTCCCCTCCCCTTTACCAGATGCTGCTGTTGGCAACTCTAGATTTCCAGGGTGTCTGTGTTCCTCAGAGTCAGCTGCTGCTCACAGAATGGATGTGCCCCTGACAGGCAGCATACACATAGGATTTGGGGAAAGAGCAACTACAGCATACCAAAATGCCGAATTGCTGCCGACCCGATCTGGGATCACTTCAAACTGATATACTCGCCTCGAGACTCACACAGGCTGTGCCTACAGCCACATGAGAGCTTGCATCCATTTCCACAAACAGAGGATGTCTTCTGGTATGTTCTGGTATGAAGGGGAAAGTGGATCCTCACACTTGCTCTGTACTTGTCTGGTGTAAGAGGGTGTGAAGGTTTTCCTGCTCTGTTTATAATTTCTGAGATGTTTTGATAGAAAGATTTACTCTCAAGGCAGGGGTGTGGCAGGGAGATGTCCAAGCTAAGGGACCTAGGCATAGAAGGCTTAGCTAATGACAAAAGAAAAGCAGTGAATGCTGGATTTCCTTGTCAAGGCAGGTTGCAAACGCTATTTTCTAGGCTTTTTCCCCAGTGGTGGTCATTAACTCTTAAATGTCAATGTAAGGCAAGAAAGGAATATGTCCTCATTTGTAATCTCTAGAGAAAATTGCAAAGGTGTCAGATGTCACAAATGTTGAAAGGGGGACCGTGTGGTGCAGTGGAATCCCAGGAGACTTGGATTTTAGCCCTGGCCCTGCCATAAAATTGCTGTGTGCTCCTGAGCATGTCCCTTCCTCTCTCTGGGCCTTTCCTCGACTGGAAGAAAAGATTGGATTCAATGATTTTCACTCATGTGCAGAATTCACAAGGGGAAACAAATCACCTGTTTACCTTGTACATCTTGAAAAGGCCTTCTTAGTTTATAACATTGAAGTGCTATGGAGGGGCTTTCTTTCCCTTCCACTTCCTGTTTTCTTTCTGTTAAATAATCAGTAGTGGAGGTGAAGAGAGCTAGGGCACGGGTTTGCTTTTGGTCATTACTGATCTCACATGAGGCTCTGTGAGCTGACCTCCTGAAGAGCATGTCTACACATCACATTGTACTAACGAAATGAAAAAATTCAAACCTGCCTAAGGAATTGTGACTCTGGCTAAAAGAGGGTTGATGCAATGCTCACATCAGTGTGCCTCCAACTCCAACTCTGCTCTCCCCGCTGCTTGGGGTTCCTCGTCCTGTGTTCTTTCTGTGGGTCTATTTGCAGATCTTGTCCTTTTCTTCACATCCATGGCATATGCAAATGAGCATGCACATACAAGAACATGCTTCTCACCACTTCCTTCCTCGTCCAGCTCATCATCCTCTCTCACCTCTCAGCCACACTCACCCCTTTGCTGTTCCTCCGATTGATTAGGCATGCCCTTGCTTAAGAGTTGGTTGCTGTCCGTTTGCTTGGAATGCCCTTCCCCCAGGTATCTGCATGGCTCGCTCTCCCATAGTCCTTCTCTAATGTCCTTATTCAAGATCATTCCCCTGCTCCCTCCCCTATCCCCAGCAGCCCTTTCTATCCTCTTCCTTCTTTCAAATTGCTCTATGACATTTATCATCCTGTAGCATACTGCATATTTTTTATGGTCTTTCTCCTCCAACAAAATGTGACTTTGATGAGGGCAGGGATTTTTGTCTACTTCATCCACTGCTGTACCCCAGCATTCAGAACAGTGCCTGGTGCACATAGTACGTACTTAATGAATACCAGCAAAATAAATGACTAAATCGCTTTCTAGCCATCCCTCTCTTATTATTTAGTATCTACTACATATAAAGTGCTCTGGAGAGGGAAGAAAGAGAACAATGTACAGCACAAGGATAGGGGATATGTTTGCAAAGTGCTTGGCAGAGCGTCTCGTACATAGTAGGTACGTAATATTTGGTGAATGAAAGAATGAATGGCCCTTTATTGAAAAAAGCTAATAGTCTAATAGGGGAGCAGAATCCATCAATTTCTGGAAATCTAGGGTAAGGGCCAAAAGTGAAGTATAGAAAAGGGCTGTGGGAGTAGGGGTGGGATCCACTTGTGCTTTCCAACTTCAAAAGGTAACAATGATAACAAAAACTTTGCCAGTGGCAGCAGCCACCATTTGTTAAAGTTACCGTTCACCAAGCATAGTACTGTGGGCTTCACCGATATTATCCTTAAGCCTCAGGACAACTCTCCGAGGGAGTTTCTGCTGCCACTGTTTCAGAAGTGACAAAAGGGCTCAGAGAAATTCAGCTTCTTTCTGAGGGCCACACAGCATATTATTTGAAGAGCCAGGATTTGAAAGCAGGTCTGTTTTCCTCCAAAGTCCATTTTCCTTCCATTTCACTATGTCACCTCAAAGTCTTCCAAACTCTACCAAAGATTTCACCTGACATGGGTATCCACCTCTACCTTCACCCTTGTGTCCACATCAGCTTGTTTCCACTGCTCTCCCCAGGCCCATAGGTACCTCATCTACCTTCACACAGGTACAGCCCTCCCTAAGCTTGGAGATAAGTTTTGCTTGATGCGGATGTTCCCTCCAGTGACCACCAGACTCCTTGCAATCCTTTTACTGGCCAATGTCTCAAACAAGTGGGGATAACCATTCTCTTTTAACCTTTTCAATATGGCATCCACATCCACCTGTCTACTGAAGCAGCTCTTCTAAAGGCCTCCAATGGCCTCCTTCTTTCACAGTTCCATAGCCTTCCTAGCCCTCTTTCTTTTTAGTCTCTCTGTGTGACATTTGAGATTCTCGCTCTGCCCTTTACAGCTCTCCACAATGTGGTTTCCATGACTCTATATCAAGGGTCAGAAAATCTGGCCCACCACCTGCTTCTGAATGGCCTGTGAGCTACAAATGGTTTGAAAAGACGAACATTTGCAATCATTTTGATGAAAGGGAGCACTAACTTTGAACCTCAATTAAGCAAAATGTTATTTAAACAAAATTCCATTTTTCTCCTTAGCAGACTGTATTATAAAAATTGTACTTAATTGTCATTGTATTTTTAATTTCATCAGCAAAATCTTTGTGGAAATTTGTTTTCTCTTTTATATTCTTTCTATATAACAGCCTCAGTTTTGCCTCTTGGCCAGCAGACTCCAAAATATGTACTCTAGATCTTTACAGAAAAAGTTTGCCTACCCCTGCTCTATACTGAACAGATTTTTCTTCTCCTTCTTCCAACTGCTTTGTTACACTTTCTTCCCTCAATGCTTTAAGGCAGAGGATGCTGCTTCTGGAAAGTGCTATGAGAAGCCCTGTGTGGGGCCAGCCATCCTCATCCACTGGAGAAACCAGGCTATAGTCTTGCTTGCAGACAAGAAGCCCTCCCTGACCAACCAGGAAGGCCCAAGCTCCCTTTCTCTTGGGTTTCCACAAAAGTCTGTTCATACCTGTCACCTCCCTCCACTGGACTGTGTGTTTCTAGAGTGCAGGTGTCGCATAGAATTCAGCTTTGTCCTCAACCCCGTGTATGGAAATACACCCAAAGTGTTTGCTGAATGAATGAGACGTAATCCTGGGCAACCATTCTAAGTTGCCTCATTCAAAAGCTCTATGGCCTACCCAAGGGAGTGTGCTTTCTACAGACAGAAGCTGCTTAAAAATCATTTCAGGAAGCTTTTAATGTGACTTCACAAGCTTAGGATGTGTTTGAATTCTTTTGTTTCAGAATTAAAAAAAAAAATTTTCACAGTGATCTCTGGGCCTTTCAATAGTTATTTTTATTTTCTGAACTTTCAGAGAGAAGCATTCTTTCACTTTTGTTCATCAATATAAGAGTAAGACCTAATTCAACAATTTAAATGGTACTTCCTTTCAATATAGTAATTGAGTTAATGCGTAGTTTTTAATGGATCTGTTCCCTTACTCTGAATGTTTTTATGATCTCAAAGTAGAGTTCATTGTGCCACTGCTTTGGGAGTATGCTTTGTAGTTACTTATAAAGTGGCAGAGGAGACTATTTAACTCTGAAGAAAGTGTTTTGATCAGAGATGCAAGAATTTTGAAATGAAGGAAAATGGAAAAAGCAGCTCTTTGTGAAAGTATGTATCCACAGTAATCTAGTTTCCCTTCTGACTAATGGTGGGAAGCAGGCTTGGGGTAGTGAAGGAGGTATTAGGATCAGAGGAGAAACTGATGCTCAAGTAAGTAAGCGTAGGTGCATGGCCAGTTCATGGCTGAGCCAGAACTAGGATTCCAAATCTCCCTCCTAGAAGGAACATCTCTTCAGATGGCCCCCAGAAGTCATTGGGTCCAGACCTTTCATTTTAGAGATGGAAAAAGGAGCCCAGAGAGAGGAAGGGGCTCACTTAGCTTACCCTGGGAGCTAAAGGCAGCCTCAGGACCAGGTCAATGGGTTTCTGACTCACTCTACTGAGCTGGCCCAAGCACCTAGAGCTCGAAATATGGCCACAGGAATGGGTGAGTTCATCGAGCCTTAGATCAGCATTATAGTAGATGATTTTATATTTTAGGTCAGGGTATTTTAGTATTAATATAAAAATCATCATGAAGGCTCAGATAATTGGCTGACTAAGTGCCTTCACATTTTCAGCACTATTATGCCTCTGGTTTTATTAAACAGCACTTACCATATATCAATGAATATTTCATTGGTCTTTCATTACTGAATGAATCATTGAAAAATCACTGCAGTGGAGTTAACTTTACCCTGCCTCTCTGAAATGGCATGGTGCTTGCCATCTCATTAACAGATATTTTTATGGCCATAATTTGGCTTCAAGATCAAATAGTTAAAGAAATTTGGAATCACATCATGTTAAACTTTTCTGTCCTGCCATTAGCTGAAACCTGACTAGAATTTTGTGTGCACAAAAATAACTGCAGTCTCAGAATTGACCTTCGCTCCTGAGTTGTCAATACGAAATATTTAGGGTCCATTAAATCACCGATTTTCATGAAAAAGCAATTTTCACAAGATACTTACTTTCCATTGCCTACCCATGGAGATGGTATCTGAGTGACTTTCGAAGCATTTTGCTAAAAAAGAGAGAGAGAGAGGGAAATAAGGATATCTATTTTGTGTTTTATTAATTCAGAAACGGAAGTGTGATTTCGAGGACATTAATATTGATTGCAGCATTTTGGGATGCCTCCTGTTTCGTTAGCAGAGCTGGGGTGTATGTGCACGTCAGCAAACCATGATGCATATTCAATGAAAATAACTGGTTAGGATAATTAGTGGGCTCCAATCAGGACCATGGACGTCACTTGGTGAAAGATCTTATATACTAGAAGGTCCACTGAAATCAGACTCGGTTCTCCAAGAAGTGGTTTAATTATCCTCATCTGAAATTTATTCTGCAAAACAAGCTCTTCAGAGTACAGACAAGCTTTTCACCTTTCACTCCAGTTGCAAACTTTTTTCCTGGGATGCAGCGTGGGCTGCAGTTTCTGATATCCCAGGAATGTTACAGGGATATAACAAACCTTTTGGTTTGTTTTTTCGTGAATCACCTTGATTTGCTCTCTTTACATGCAAATCCTCATGGCTGACAGTTTTCCCTGGTGAGCAGTACAACTGGTTCAGGGCTGCATTGCAATGGAACACTAAACATTGTTTTTCCCTCTGATGGCACTGGGCTGGTTTAAAGAATCAGCCTCCTGTATTTTCGAGGTCATACACTTGTGGAGCAAGGGAAGTCTGACACTTAGCGCCACTAAAATAGGACAGTGATCTAGCTCATTATAATGGCCTCACCAGGTTGAAACCAAACAGCACCAGGCCAGGAGGCCTGTGGCATTGAGCATTGAGCCTGACTCAGGCCTATCTTTTCACAGTCACAGCCCCAGTTATGGTCCTCCTCTGCCTCTTGGGTTCCAGCCCAGCCTCCTTTGCAAAAGGTGTGCTAGGGAGAGAGTCTGCATTTTCAGAAGCCCAATGAGAATACACCATTTCTCTAGAGCATCAGAGACCCACATCTGCAGTGCATTCTGCAGACTCGAGTTTTTAACCTCAAAGAAGCTCAATGCACCGCCAGAGGAGTGAGTTATGCAACATCTGTTTGGTATGTTGCAATGCCCTGAAAGCTACACAGGATAGGCCAAAGAGGACAGATACTAGAGTAGTGGCTCTCAAAGTGGCTTGTGATCACAAGACCAACAGCGTCAGCAGCAGCTGGGAACTTGTTAGAAATGCCAATTCTTGGGCACTGTTCCAGGCCTACAGAATCAAGACACTATGGGGATGGGATCCAGCACTCTCGTTTCACAAGCCCTCCAGGGGATTCGGAGGCCCACTCAAGTTCAAGAACCACCTTTCTAGTGCATAGGTTGAGACTGTAGACATACGAAGGGATGGGCAGCTGTTGTATTTGACGCTGTCCATCTACATGAGCACTAGCTTTATGGCATTATGGCCACAACACATAATAGCTGGTGAACTTGCTCTTTTTCTCTACCACCAATGTCCTCATACAGCTCTGCACCACCACTCACCGGGTTTGGATGTTTGATGTAAGGTCAAGATTTGATTCGCTTCAAACAACTGCTTTGGTGCAATTTGGCCAAGCAGTCTCATGCACTTGGCAAAAAAAAAAAAATAATAATAATAAAATTGTCTTTTTCTTTTGAAATCTGCCCAGCAGAAGGAACCTTGAGTCTTCTTAACTCTAAATCATGGGGCTGGCCCCGTGGCTTAGTGGTTAAGTGCGTGCACTCTGCTACTGGTGGCCTGGGGTCGGATCCCGGGCGCGCACTGATGCACCGCTTGTCCGGCCATGCTGAGGCCGCGTCCCACACACAGCAACTAGTAGGATGTGCAACTATGACATACAACTATCTACTGGGGCTTTGGGGAAAAAATGAGGAGGATTGGCAATAGATGTTAGCTCAGAGCCGGTCTTCCTCAGCAAAAAGAGGAGGATTAGCGTGGATGTTAGCTCAGGGCTGATCTTCCTCACACACACATACACACACAAATAAATAAATAAATCATGACCAGTGTTGGGGGACAGAGGCAGCAGAAGCCCCATGGATCCTCAAGCCAGTGACAACTGGTACAGTGGCCAGGCCTAGCACCAGGCTGCTGCTTGCAGTTTTTATCCAGGCTCATTCCCAAATTTTGGCATTGCATTTTTGCAGTTGAAATATCTTTTTTTGCTTGAAAATTAAACAAACTCCAGCTCCCTAGATGATGGATTTAATTATTAATTTGTTTGTTTGTTGTTTATGTGTTTATTTTGGTAACCAAAGCATTCAGTTGTCTTCTTTTATTTTTAATTTTTTGTTTATTGCAGTAACATTGGTTTATGACATTGTAAAAATTTCAGGTGTACATCATTGTACTTCTATTTCTGCATATATTACATCATGTTCACCACCAAAATACTAATTACAACCCATCACCACACACATGTACCGAATTATCCCTTTCACCCTCCTCCCTCCCCCCTTCCCCTCTGGTAACCACCAATCCAATCTCTGTCCCTATGTGTTTGTTTGTCTTAAAGTGCAACCACCACACTCCAAGACTCCCCATGGCCAAAGGGCTCCCAGGGGTGTGAAAGTCCTCCCAGAGCCCAGAGTGGCCACAGTGACTTCTCTCAGTGCTGAGAAATTTCTGGGATGGCTTCTCCTTTGACACAAGACTGGCCACAGCCACAGCCACAAGCTGTGTCCCCTAGTGGGTCCACTGTGCACGGTGGGACAGAAGGCCTCATCCGCCTGACTGCCAAGGGCCATTTGGTCAGTCTGGAGAATAATCAGGGGATTGCACAATTGTATCTTCTCTCCTTGGAATCAAATCAAACCTAAGCTCTCCACTGAGCCCTAAGCAGAGGTGGGAGGACCATGGCCGGCCGGGATGAGGGAGGTTAACCCTTTGGCAACAACAATCTTGACATTTAGTAACATGCCTGCCATATCTCCTTAGTGATTTTATTCACCCAGTACCTATAAATTATACAAAATAAAGATTACCTTAAAATATTCCATCAGTGATCTCGAGTACTTCATAGCATGGTCCTTCTTCAGTTTAAACATCCGCAAGTAGAGAAGTGATAAACATCGGTAGCTGTGGTGATGAGGAAAGGATTATGTTAATGCCAGCGCTTAATGAAACCTATAAACTGTAAAAAAATGCTGATGTATGTTTTGTAGTTACTCTCCTATGGTTACTGAGGAACATAAGTAAAAAAAAAAAATTAAGAGAAGGGGTAGGCATTAAAATCCCATCTTGATAAGGGTATAAATTAGGAGAGTAAATGTTTAGTCAGTGACTGAAGAAATCCATTAGTTATCCTTTAATAGTTTAATGGAAAACAAGAATAATGATCTGAGGTAAGCAGCTTAAGTTGATCTGGAGTTTTCTAATCCTTCTGCGACATTTCAGCTGTTTCCTTGTGGCCTCCATGAGACTTACCATAATACTGCCAGCTTTTTGTCCCCGTCCGAAGCCAAGGGGCTTGCAAAGTTCTTCAGCCTCATTGCATACCTTTGAAGAGAAAGGACAAGCTCATGTGGAATCTGTATTACCCTTCAGAAAGCCCCAAAGTCACTGGCATTGTCATCTCCTGAATGCGTTAACCCCACCTTTGCTCTGGGCAGGAGGACTGACAAAGGCATGTGGGCAAAAGCATGCTTTCCCGAAAACATATACAAAATGATGATCGAAAGAGCACCACGATAGCACTGATGTGACATACAGAAGTTAGCTCTGGAGAAGTCAGCTAAAACCGGAGCCCACATTCTAGGACAGTGCTGTGGAATTACTGTTATTTTGATGTGTGTATAAATGCTGGCAAAATACTGTTTCTAGGAACACTCTAGCTAAACAACATTATTGCTTTTCAATGAGAGGTGGACACAAATGTCAGTCTCAGCTGAGTTTATGCCAGATGAGGTAAATAATATACAACTGTGTCTGACACGAGCATGGGGAGGGAGGCCACAATCACACAGTTAAAAAGGTCTTTTCTAATGGCTCAGGTTTGGAATACATTCCTATAGAAAGTGGTTTTGTTTTTTTTAAGGGAAGGTCAATTTCATAGCATTTGAAGGTCTAAGCGCCCTTAATTTATGGTGCTTGTATATTTTGTCTTTCCATTCTCTTTAATTGTTACCGTTCCACACTGGAGGGACCAAAGGTTGAGTAGTTTCCATTTTTTTTTTCTTCTAGCTGAACACATTCCATTCTGGGCATTTAGACTCTTGAAAATCAATTCATTGCATAAAATCATTGTCTGAGCTTTAATGCAATTTCACAGGTACTTGTGGTGGAATAAGTAATGGAGTTCAGTGTTGCAGAAGGAGGCTGCAAGTGTGCAGGCAGCCTAGACTAGTTCTCATTTACGAGAAGGCAATGGAGAGCCTGCAGAGATGCTGTGCTTGCACCATGGACTCCTCATTTTCAGCAGCCTCCCCAGAATACCAGCACCCCTGGGCTTGCCCCGCAAGACTCTGTGCCCCCTCAGCATACTCTATCTACCCTGCTTTCCTGGTTATTGCTCCAGTTCTGTTGGGTGAACATTTTCCAACAAAAGGGCCCGTGCACTTGATGTGGGTCCCTCCTGTTGTTGCAATATTAAGCAAAAGGATTTTTATTATGTAATAAATCTAACTGTCTTTGACAGTTGGATCACTGAAATGTCAAGTCATTGTGATGCCCCACTTGTTTTCAAAAATACATTTCTATTGCAGATTCCCCAGGCTCAGAGCAACTATAATTACTTGAATGAAGAAAATGGAGTGCTCTCACTGTAGCCAGCATACTGTCGGGGAGAGAGTAATAAAAATCTCTTCAGCATAATATTACACTACTAAAAACTATGTTCATATCAGAGTCACCCTCTAATTGCAACCACTTTTGAAGTGACTTGATAGTGGAGCTTCGATTGCCTAAATGGACCAGAAGACCTAGTTGCTTTAGCTCATTTTATTCCCAACTGAAGTTTCTCTCAAAAAAAAAAAATTATACACACACAACTTTACAGAAAAGGTAAAAAAAAAAAAAAAAAAAAAAATATATATATATATATATATAGAGAGAGAGAGAGAGAGAGAGAGAGAGAAAGGAAACACACAAAAGAGTGCATGTAAAACTGGTGAAATCTGGAAAAAAAAAAAAGCCAAAACTGATAAAATCCGAATAAAGTCTACAGATTGTATCAATGTCAATGTCCTGGTCATGATACTGTACTATAGTTATGCAAGATATTACTATTGGGGGAAACCGGGTGAAGGGTACACAAGAACTTTCTGTATCATTTATTACAATTGCATGTGAATCGACAATTAACTCAAAATAAAGTTGAAAAATATTGACTTTAAAGTGAATGTCCATAAATTCTCCATTGACTTTCACCAGGTTCCACTGAAATATACTCCTATGGGGAGTAATCTATCATGTAATGAAAAAAAAAAAAAGTGCTTAAAAAAAAGAAATTTTTTTTTGTGAAAAATTAAGGGAGAAGGTTTTTTAATGGAAATAAATATTACTCAATGATTCACATTACATTTTGACCAAAAACGAAATTTGAAATTTTGCTTTTATATTTTTAAGAGAGCACGTGTTTTCCTAAATGAAAATTAATAAGAAAGAAAAATATAGAGAGAGGAAAACACCCATAATTTTACCCCCCTATTACAGCTGTGATCTCATTTCCCTTCTTAGGTTGGTCCACATGCAGAAACATGCTTTTCACGGTCAGAAATGTAGTGTATATATAATTCTGTAGCTTGCTTTTGCTTTTTTTTTTTTTAAGATTTTATTTATTTATTTTTCCCTCCAAAGCCCCAGTAGATAGTTGTATGTCATAGCTGCACATCCTTCTAGTTGCTGTATGTGGGACGCGGCCTCAGCATGGCCGGAGAAGCGGTGCGTCGGTGCGCGCCCGGGATCCGAACCCGGGCCGCCAGCAGCGGAGCACACACCCAACTGCTAAGCCACGGGGCCGGCCCGCTTGCTTTTACTTTAACATCATATTGTAAACATTTTCGTGCAGCCACATAGGCTCCATCATTACTGCATTTCAATGGCTGCAAAGCATCCTGGTGAGTGTACTACAATGTAATTAATTACTCTTCTATTATTGACTATTTGGTGCACTTCTAATTGTGTGCTATAATATATGCCAAACTGAACACTGTACAGATAAGTTGTTCTACTCTTACAATTATTTTCTTCAGTACAGGAAATTCAAATTTCCGGAAGTTGAATTACTGGCTCAAAAGATGTGGATTCTCACTTGCATAAGTTTTCCTACACAGTGCCCAATTGCTCTCAATTTACAATGATCAATTTCCACCCCCACCAGCAGCATAGGAGAGGCCCAGTTCACCATACCATTATTTTTGCATGTGTGCTAACACTTGGTATTAGTATTTTTACATTTTCTTGTTAATTTAAAAAGTGCCTTGTTTTAATTTGCATTTTGGGATGAATAGAGGGCACTGATTTTCTTCATGTTTTTTCATTAATGTTTCCCCTCAATTTTGAATCCTTATAATTTTTACCAGAATTTTCATCTTGTACATGTTTGAAAATTGCAGGCAGCCTCGATTAGACACTGAGAAATCAGTTTCTCCTTAAAAGCTACAGAACGGTGGTGGTGGCTTTCACAGTGCATAAAGTGTCAGAGAGAGACTTTATCTCAGAGCAGCGAAAAGCCAAAGATGGCTGATTGGCCTGGCAAGGCAAGGCTGGAGCTTTCCTCATAATCTCCCTACTTTTGTGGTTTTAACTAAATCTTCTCATTGTATGTGAGCATAGTTTTTTTTTCTTTTTTAGTAATAGTACCCATTCTTTTGATCTTTTGGTATGCTTTCCTGGGAAAATATGCATGCTAAATTTGTCCAAGATTTGTCTGAAGGTTTAGGTACAAGTGTGCTCAGATTTGTAACAGTTTATGCAGATACAAGCAACATAGTAAAAACCAGGCCTGGCATTATCTATTAAGCAATTAATCGAGCCAGAGGTGACTAGGATAAGAGGCCCTATCAGGTGAAGAACTGCTCATTGAATCAAAAGCAATTATTTAGTCCATCCAGTGAATGATGGTGCTTATCCACTATTCAGAGGTGGATTAAATTATTTTTCAAATATCTGCAGGTTACTGAAAAACTCTAGAATGGATATTATTTCTTCTCTTGCCCTTTCTTCCAGGAAATTTTTTGATTACCCACAAATTCTACTCCACCAAGACCAACAGGCCATAAAATTTCATTTAAAATGCAAATGAAACCAATAATCTGTGTAGGTAATATACTTTCTCCTGTTCTCATCCTCTCATCTCCACCTTGCCCCCTGCTACCACCTTGTCCATTTCCCTTAAATTCCAAATGCATGGAAAGTCCACTCCACAGCTGCAGCCATAACACCAGCTTTGTGTTGGAACAGTGCCCCCTCCCTTTTTAATAACCAAGGCAGAAACTCTTAGACAACATGGTTTGTAACAGAGATCTGGATGGCACCACTTTTTTTGAATTATAAATCTACACTCTGAAAGACAAGTGTCGATGCCAAATGGTGAAATTATTATACTTCCACCCACTATGTTTCCATTTTAAATTTATGAATATTGCAAATTATAACACGCACATTATAACCTCCGAAGGGAATAATTTATAAAAGCAGTGTCCATCAATTATAAATTTTCCATGACATTAATAAAATGGCAAGAAATAATGATGACTTCTAAGAAGAAGATGCCTTGGACAAATCATTACTATGTGGAAATGATATTTTTAAAAAACATAGCAGCTTCTAATTATGACTGAAACGAGCTTAGGAAGATGGCTGCAGAAAGGCCATTAACCTGAGGAGCTCCACAGTCTCGGAGTACATGGTATACGGAGACTTTGCTTCCAGAGGGTCGCGCTCCATCGCATTGCCACATTCGGTGAAGGACAGAGCTGCATCCGCATAATTCACGGCTTTGCCAAATTTCTCGAACTGAAACAGGAAGATCACTCGTCAACATGGTATTCCCTCTTTTCTCCCTCATATGAAGGAGTGGTTCTCAACCTGGGGCAATTTTGCACCCCTTCCCCAGGGAACATTTGGTAATGTCTGGAGACATTTTTGGTTGTCATCATTAGGGACAGGGGGCTTCTGGTGGCCAGGGACCAGAGATGGTGCTAAACATCCCACAGTGCACAAGACAGCCCCATAATGGAGAATTACTCTGCCCATGATGTCAATAGTGCCAACATTGAGAAACTCTGATATAGAGTGGGGACAATGTATGAATTTGTATTCACAATAACATAGCTGATTTAAGGTTCTATTGTCATGACACTGAGGCTGGTTGAGAAGAGAAAAACACAGCCAAGGTATCATGTATGGTGGTATTATCATGTACTTGTGTATTATTGTTGTTGTTATGATTTTTGTGGTGGACCTGAATGCAAATCACTGCCTTGACTAGTTTCAATTCATTAAATTTATTTAGACTGCTCATTGTATTGTCCCATAGACAGAGCTTGCAATGAAACTCTGCTTTTTATAAGCCTCCGGAACAACTAACACATACAGTCTTTGCTTGCAACTCTTTGTGAGCACATCAACCCCACCCCCAGGAGAAGAGTAACAAATTGATGCTATTGTCATGAAAAATGTGAAGCTGCAGTGTGACTGTTGACAATAATCACATCACTTTCCTTGTAAATGATGGTCTGAAATAGTGTGTCAAAAAGTCGAAAAATATAGCACTACTAAATATTTTAGTTTAGTAAAATTTTATTGCAAAAGGTTTTAGCCCTGATAATGGTCACGATTAAACTGACTTAGACATACTGATTTCTTTTTTATGTGTAATGAATATTATATATGACATTTTTATAGTGAGTATTTTATAACAGTATTTAACTTTTTCAATTTTTGATAGCCGGATGTAAGAATTCCACTAATACGGAATTTTATGTAAAAGATTCAACATAATGCAGATTTAGCTATTTTAATTTTCTTATATACCTTTTATAAAAATATTTTCTATGCAACTGTGAAGGTTTCAATTCTCAAAATGGTAGAGTAGCTGTCTCTAGCAAAGGATTAAGTACAACTATAAAATGATGAGTTACAGGTCCTGCAGAATCTCTTGTTGTAAATGACTCTCTTTACAATAAATATTCTTCAGTTTTTATGTACTGCAGGAATTCTGTGGTTTCCTTCCTGTAAGCCATCGTGGAAAACATATAGGTTTCAACCAAATTCAAAGTGATTTTATGAAAACCCATGTGTGTATGTGCAAACTATCTCCTTCTTCTCTTGCCTTACAAGATAATTTCCTCAGGTCATCTGGCTCTGACTGGTTCTCTCATGTGAAAATGAATCTTTACATCCTGATTTTTGAAAGTGACTTTTCATTCACAAACCCATATCTGGAAGGATCCTTAAAGATCTCCTAGCTCAAACCTCTCTTTTTCCAAAAAGAGAAACTGAGGTCCACAGAGAAAATTACATGACCATAGTGGCAATTAGTGGCCAGGTCATACCCTCTTCCTGGCCCTCAGTTTCCCCATCCATAAAATGAAGGGCTTGAACTACAAGGGGGCTTCCATCTCTGGTATAGACACAAGCCTAGCAAAGATATCTTCCTCTAAATGAGTGTTTCTCAACCTTTTTTTTGTTATCACTACCCCCCCATCCCCACCAATGGAGCTTTTTTAGAAATTTTTTTCACACACTCCCACTGAAACTTTAATACCAAAGATATACTGATTATGTCTTTGTGTACTGTGGCCCTTTGGAGGGTTGCACACCATTGCAATATCTAAGACTTTTTCACCTCACCCTCCTCAAACCAATTTTTGCCCCCATGGGGGCAAAATCTCCCCAATTAAAAATGCATTCTCTAAATGGATTATACCAAAAGTGATTTTGGGAGAACATAAATACAACCCTGGAAGATAGAGAGTGATGTTGATTCTTAATCATATGTATGTATCTCTGTGGCTCTGATTTTTCTCAGTTCTTCTAACATTTCACCTACATGATCTCACATGTGCATCCTGGTCTTCATCAGCTCATGGACCAGCTTGTCAGGAGAATATCTATGTGCTCCCTTGCCCTGATTTTGACAGAGGGCAAACTCCAGAGCCCTTCTGCAGTGCTGCAGAGTTGAAGACATTTAGAGAAAACCTTTAGTCTTCAAGCCAGCAGCACTTGCCCAATGCCTTTCAAATCTCTGGCCGCCCATGCAGTCGTCACAGGCGCAGTCTTCCTGGCATGTCTCGTGGAGCTTCTACCCAGCCTGTGTTGTCATTTTTATCTGTAGGAGCAGGGAATAAGTGTTCCCAAGGGACAGTTCACACCAAAGAAAGGTTAGCTGCAGACAACAGCTGAGCAATCTGGACCACAGTGGGAAAATGACAGAAAGTAGGGAAGCGGTAGATGCAAGGGCCACACACGAGTCATAGTACAGAGACTGCTGTGGTACTCCATTACAGCCTTCCCAGTGTCAAACACCATGTGACAGCTAAGTCCTGGATGGACACAATACAACGACGGAGGATATTTTTTTTTAACACAGTGCGGTTGAACTGAGACTTCTAACTGTGCTGGGGTTTAGTCAAAGGAGAGGAGCCTGAATTTAGGACCTTCTCTAGGGCAGTTGTTCTCAATCTTGGCTGCACTTTGGAATTATCTGGGGAGCTTAATATCCATGCCTTGGTCCCAGTCTCAGGAATTCTGATTGCATTTGTCTGGGGTGTGGCCTGGGCATCAGATTTATTTTAAAGCTCCCCAAGTGATTGTAACATGTGGTTGAGATCCCCTGTTAGGAGGATAAATCAAGTCAAACAACTCAACATGCAGAGCTCATCACTGATCTAGGTGGCCAAAACCCTTAGGGACAGCGAGGCCTAGTGTCCTAGGGAAATCCAGATGACAGAACTTCCTTTCTCTGTGCAGGGTCCTAGCCTGACTGTGGGCCTCACTCTGGAAACCTGTAATTAAATGCAGCAAGGAGCTGAGCTTTTTCTACAGAACTGAGTTTCCCAAAGCCAATTTTTGAGGCCACTTAACCAGCCCTCAACAACCTTCTCCCAGCTCACACCAATTCTGGTTTACTGGAACCAACGGGAGCTCCCACCTTCTCCAGGGCAGCTTCCAAACAACAATAGTATATGGCATCTAGCTTCTGAAGTTGGGGCAAGAAGAACAGTGGGAAAAGAAATAATGGCAGGTCAACACTGTACAAAGACCTTTGGGAATTACAGTGCTAAGGAATTAACCAGCTCTGATCTCCCTATGTCAGAGCAGCAATGAGAAAGTTTGACTCACTTGTAAGGTGCCTTCTTTGTTTTCCTGCAAAGTGTAATGCCTTAATGGGAGGAAAGCAGTGAGAGGAAGGAAACCTACCAGCGCATCAGCTTTGTGCTTCAGCTTCTTAGCCTCTTGCATGTAATAATCAGCATTGTGAACCCTAAACAAACAAAATGAGCTCTTTCAGAAATCAATGTTTCATCTTTTCATTAAACGATTGAATAGTCAAAAATGTTTTTGCTATAAATCCATTCCTATATAGGAGTTCTCCCTGATTCGTGGTTTTGCTTTCTGTAGTTTCAGTTACCTGTGGTCTGAAAATACTAAATGGAAAATTCCAGAAATAAACAATTCATATGTTTTAAATTGTGTACCGTTTGGAGTAGGGTGATGCCATCTCGCACTGTCTCACTCCATCCTGCCCGGGACCTGAATCATCCCTTTGTCCAGCGCATCCACGCTGTAGATGCTACCTGCCCTCTAGTCACTTAGTAGCCATCTCGGTTATCAGATCGACTGTTATGGTATCGCAGTGCTTGTGTTCAAGTCACCCTTATTTTGCTTTACTTAATAATCGCCCCAAAGCACCATTAACCTCTTACTGTGCCTAATTTATAAGTTAAACTTTATCATAGGTATGTGTGTACAGGAAAAAAAAAAACATAGTATATATAGGGTTCAGTACTATCCGTGGTTTCAGGCATCCACTGGGGGTATTGGAACATATCCCCCTCAGATAAGGAGAGACTACTGTACAATGCCTTGAAGAGGGCAGATGAATGCTATCATTCACATAATAACTAACCTTGAAATAATCCTGTAAATGAAATCTGAAGTGCATAATGGCCCATTAGGACAAATAACCACATCCACCAACTGCAACCATTCCAGTTGTCCAAACAGATCCAACAACACCTAGCTGTAAACCTCTTTGTTGGCACACACTTCTATCTGAGGTCACGGGTAAAAAAGGAGGACAAAGCAACCTAGAATTATGCACCTGCTTTTGGAAATAGTAACAGAGCTCCATGATTAAAATGGGCCAAAGACATTTCTTGGTGGGGATAGAGATAGTGTTGGGAGGAGGGATAATACTTTTCAGGCTATAGGAGCTGCTGCTGAGGTCTTATTTTGGGTGACACATGCATGGTGCTAGAAAAGCCATACTGTCCCCACCGCCCATTCACCACTCCCAAACTGTGTCCATGATAATCTGGGGACAACATACGAGTCATCAAAAGTGAGCTTGGGTCTCCGGACGTTGGTGGTGCTGCTGGACAGAAGGGGCAAGGCTGCCCAGGACGTCATCTCCAGGTGACTGCTATCCATGAGGCCAGTAGTGATGGTAGAGGTGATGGTGGAAATGGTAGTGGTAGTGGTTGTGGTAGTGGCTGTGGCAGTGGCAGTGGCTGTGACAGTGGCGGTGACAATAGCAGTAGCAGTGACAGTGGCAGTGGCAATAGCAGTGTTGGTGACAGTGATGGTGGCAGAGCCTGCCTTTTTTGGAGTGTCTCCCTCCTGGGAAAAAGGAGGACAAATGGCTTCCATTAGGTTCAGCTTTTTAGAACATCTTTTCATAAATGCTTTGAATGTCAAGCACACTGGGAAACAAGGCAAGAGAAAAGAAAACAATGCACACAGCTTGAGGATAAATAGGTGACCCTGGTATATTTTATGAACTCCATGAATCACCAGCTTTTGTTTTATGATGACCCCAAACACCAAGCTAGTCAGGTGCTGTGATTACATAGCCTCATCATACCATGAAGACAGCCGTTGGCAAAGGTCTAAATCCAGTAGGGGATGTGTGAGGGGGGTGGTGAGGAAGGGGAAAGTGAGGGAAGGATAGATAGAGGGAGAGGGAAAGGCAGAGGGAGAGAGAGAGAGCGAGAGAGATGACCCTGATGTGCATATATTTGATAAGGGAACCAGCCCGAAAACTTGCACTAGCCTAAGTAAAGTACTCAGGTCACTACAAAATACCAGATTCAGCACAGTAAATGCCAGCAAAGCAGGCACTGTACTGCAATAGTCAGTACCCTGGGACCGAGGCTGAAGCTGCCCTTTTGCTCACGTGACGAGCTTGACTGGTTTCCGGCTGAGTGAATGCCACATGAGTGCCTCCTTATTTTGAAGTCTTGGGATGGTGAAAGGTCATTTCCACCAGGTCAAAAATCAAATGGGTAAGAGACTTCTGAGTTTCACTCTGAACTGTTGTTGCCATAGAAAGAATGGAATCCAGATGAAGAAAGTTGGTGGTAAGATTTGTAATTAAGTGACTGTGTGTGTCACGAGACCACGGGCTGTGTTCCACAGCAGACTCTGCCCTCCCCACCTGGCAACTGTGGAACGATCCTGACTGTTCTACACCTGACCATACTTGCCATGGTGCCTCTTCCTCCCTCTGCTCTTCTGAGTTGGTATCTCCCTAAGGTTGGTATCCCCCAGGTTCATTCCTCAGCTCTCTTCTTTCTTGACCTTGACAGGATTTGCCAATCATGTATGCACTGGCACAGATTTAACAATAAGCAGGTAACTCCCAAATGGGAACCTCAATCTTACTCTCTCTCCAAAGCTCCAGACCTGCAGTGACCACCTCTGGATAGTTCCACCAAGATGGCCCATTAGCACCTCAAATTTCCTTGAAATCAAATTGATAACCAAAACAGTTCCCTTTTTCTGTTAATGGCAGGCTGGTCTTCCCTGTCACTAAGGCTGGACTTCACGTCAGTAAGGGCATTGTGGTCATCCCCGGGCTAGGAGCATTGGAATCAGTGTATTCTCTACCTTGCCTTCCATCTGAGCTACTCCGTTTTAATCAGCTTTATATATTGAAGTTCTGTAAATTGTTTCATTTCAAAAAAGGATAATGCTCCTAAAACTCTTTGAAAATCACTGTTCCATTTCATTTTTAATTTCTTCTCCATTACCTTTATCCAATTAATTACAGAGTCCTATTCACTGTATCTCCCCAACATCTCTCAAATCTGTCCCTTCCTACTCTGAAGCCTCAAAGTACAGGCCCTCATGGCTTCTGACCCAGACAATCAAACAGCCTCCTGGCTGGACTCCCAACCTCCAAGCTAGCTTTTTCAATACACCCTCAATCCACTGTTTGCTAGCGTGAGCTTCCTAAACAAAGCTCCACACATTTCCCTGCCTTGCACCCAAATGCAAACCCTAGGCTGAGCTCCTTTGCTGGCATGTAAGGCCCTCCATAATCTGGCTTCAGCTTTCCGCCTCATCTCCCACTACTCCCTCCCACACTTTCACCAAACTGAACACAGCCCGTTTTCTTCACTTTCCTGCTTTGCTTCGTGCAGAGTCTTAGAGTTGAAAAAGCCTTCCCTTTGTTACCATTTTTTTCGCCTTGTGATAATTCACTCTTTTTAATTTTTAAAATTGTGGTAAAATACAAATAACATCAAATTTACCATCTGAAACATTTTTAGGTGTGCAGTTCAGTAGTGTTGAATACATTCATATTGTTGTGCAACCAATCTCCAGAACTCTTTTACCTTGCAAAACTGAAACTCTATCCCCATTAAACAACAACTCCCCATTCTCCCCTCACCCCACCCCCTGGCAACTACTCTTCTACTTTCTCTCTCTATGAATTTGACTACTCTAGGTACCTCATATAAGTGGAATCCTATGGTATCTGTCTGTTTGTGACTGGCTTATCTCACTTAGCGTAGTGTCCTCAAGGTTCATCCATGTTGTAGCATGTGTCAGAATTTCCTTCCTTTTTATGAACAGCATTCCATTGAACGCATAGAGCACATTTTGTTTAATCACTTCCCTTTGTTTCTAAACTCTACTCATCTATTAAGGCCTGGCGCAACAAATGCCTTCTCCTCCAAGAAAACTGCCTTATGACTATGCCAGAAAAGCTTTAATCCTCCTTGGGCCCTTTAGAGATCTGAAGGGTCTGTCTTGATCCCTTCTCTATGACACCAATCACGAGCTATTTTACATTCCAGTTCTTTGAGTACATGTCTCATTGCTCACCTTAGATTGAGAGCTCTTTGAACCCTGGAGCCATCTCTGATTTATGACATCACTACCCCCACTCCGACGCCCTTGCCCCACAGCCCAGTGCTCTCAGTTATTTGCTGAATGTATGAATGTATGCACGCATGCTTGTCTTAGTCAAAAAGATCACTTTAAAGATAAAAGCCAAATGTGAACATTTCTTATATCCACGAAAGTCTATTTTGTCCACTTGATCCTGGACCTCCTGATTATCAAAAATTCTTACGACCATGAGCTCACTGAGATAAACGTGCTGAGAGGCTACACATATAAAACTTGTTATGATTAATATGGAAAAAATAGTTTAAAGATTGTCATGGATTTTATTCTACTCAAACACATAAAAAAAAAATTGAAGCCTTCTGAAATTCCTAAGCCAGCTCCATGTTTCTACTGCCCGAGCCAGATGGCCCAGACCAAATGGTGGAGCAGGCCAAGATAGTGCCTCTTGTCTGTATGGCCAAGATATGTGACAAGAACCCTGAGACGCCACATCCAGCACATGCATGGCATTGATGTCAGTCCTGGCACATCTGACTGGAAATGGCTGCATTCAGCCATCATCACGTAAGTTATATAAACATGTCCTCTGTCCACACTCACCCGTCAATTGAGTCAATAAACAAGAATTCATGCATAAATGGAATAGAGAAGAAAACAAAAAATTGAGAACACTTTTGGAGTTGGAAGAAGCCTTATAGATCATCTAGTCAAATCCACTTATTTTATGTACTCAGAGAGTTTTCATAATTTGCCCAAGGTCACAGTGCAAATCTGTTACAGTGTTAGCACTCTGTGTCAAGTCTCTTAACACTCAGGCTAGGGCAAAAATATACCTGGATTTCAAGCCATTAACAGAAAGAAGGAATGAGTAAAGAAGAGGCAATGGGTTCTCAATTCTATCATGGGGGACCCCAGGGATTTCCTTAAGAAGGAACATCCATTTGTAGGTACAAATGTAATCATATTTGTCAGGTTTTCCCAGTAGTTTTTAGCTGTTGTGGAAATGACTTTGCAGATTCTTGTTAAGCATTATCATTGTCATAATAACATCCATATTAAGCACCTAATTATTTGTGATTATATACTAGGCACTGTACAAAGAAAACTGCCTAGATACGGCATATGCCCTCCAAAAGCTTGCAATAGAAGAGAGCATCAGTTGGAGTTTATAATATTAATTACATTCAGTATGAAAAATTGAATTGATAATGTAATTACTGTTTAGAATAGATGGCTTAATTCCTAACATTATCTTTAAACGTGAATGCAAATATTATGTGTGTATACACAAACAGAAGTTTCATGTGGAAAATGACAACTTCATAATAAAGCAATTTCTTTAATCAGTGATGAAATTTACCTAGATATGTATGTCATCTCAGTCATCTCAGATGATGAAGGACTATAAACTGGGATCCTTAAAGCTCAGAGGCCTCATGGTGTTTCATGAAGTGTTAAATGGGCATTTTTGGTTCAGGGTCCACCAGGTTGGCACCAGATATTTGAAAACTCATTGATTTTCACTCATTTGTTTTTTGTATTACACCTAAAGGAGACCAGATGCATATAGATGCTACATCCTCATATACATGCATTTTCATGGGAAGGCGGATACATTTGTCATTAATATTCACCAGTGACACTACTGCTCGTGGTTTCCACAGTTCATGTACCTATACCTGAGACAGATGAAAAGACATTGGGTATGGATGTGAAAAGTGATACAAATTCTCAATTATCTATCTAATCGAGCAGCAGTGCAAAAAATCTAAAAGACTGGGTAATCCTTTAGTGGGCTTAGAACCACAATTGTGTGATTTTTAGCAACAGAGTCATCTTTTAAATTCCATCCTTTTTAGTCATTATTTTTTAAAACAATTTAAACCTGCTTAAGCATGGTGGTGGAAAGATGTAACTTGGAGTTCCAACCCCAGTTCAGTGACCTTGGGCAGTCCCATGCATTTGTTCTTTCATTCACTCAATGATGGGTGCCTACCATGTGGCAGATGCTGTGGTCAGTATTTTGGAAGTTTCCCCCACCCTCAAGACATGAAGGGATTGGACCAAAGGATGCCCAAGGCCCTGAGTCTCTACATAATAATCTGTTTGGAGAAGTAAGACTGGAATGAAAAACTCATCCTAAGTTAGAATTATCAAGATCTGTAATAATAGAGTTTATTTGTGCACATATAATTACATTTTCTCTCTGCCTCTTTCTCCCATCCCCCTGGCAACATCCCCATGTGGTCAAGTTCAGTTAGATAAGCTGGGTCAACTTATTTCTACCTGACGCTTATAATATTTCTTCTAAGATGCTTACATTTACGGATATCCCTTTGAAAGTAGCACAGAATTTGCCTTCACTCCTCTTAGGCTTGGTAGAGGTGATCTGTCCAATTGTAGGGATGTTTTTGTCTTGACTGAAGGGACCATTATTGCCACTGATATTTCTGCGGCGTGGAGGGTCCTCTGGCAGTGGGGAAAGTGGAGGAGGGAACAGCTTTTCTTCTTTCCTTCTATTTGCTCTCCTGGATGAATTATTTCTGTGTAAACAAAAAGTGCAGGGTGTCATAAAGTTTTGTCTCTCTTTATTCTGATTTTTGCCATGATACTAGTACTTTCAGCTGAAGTAATATTTTAGTTGATGGCCCTTTACCTCTGATAAGGAGTACGTATAAAAATGCATATAGACATAGATATCTATAGAGAGCTATCCTTCTCTATAGATATAGCTATAGATAAATGCAAACATATGTATTCAAGAATAAACACGTCTTTGAAGCAGAACTCCATGATAAATACAAATGCCTAATGGAGTGTGCTACAGTGTGATATTTGCAACCTTTCAAGATTACTGTTAACTATATTTTTATGGAAAATCCAATGCAGACTTTAATCCCATCATTTTTTAGGATGTTTCCTACTTATTTTGCCCCACAACTTAACTGCACAATCATGCAATAAATGGTACAATAAACTATTAGTGGAAGGATATTTTCTTAAGAAATACTATGCTTATACATTACTTAGAAATAAAAAATGCACTAAATACTTTTGTGATGCATTGCAAATCGTATGTTCAAAATGTTCTACCCCAACACCAAGGCATAATGAGCTCCTGACCTTAAGTCATTATACTGAAGTACTGATGTACTCCACTTTACAAAACTCCGTTTGAAAAATATTTTGTCTTATTGCCACAAGACATCTGCAAGTACTCCTGTGCTTTCAAACTGATTTATCTACCCATTAAATGGGCACCATCAAATAGACTGAGTCTTAAGATAAAACAGGACAACTAAAACCTTATGCTAGCTACTTAACATGGTAATCGGGTCATGGATTTTCATTTTAGTTACTGTCTTAGACTAATCAATGAAGATTACTTGAATTTTAATATTTTCTTAGACAACTAATATTGCACTGTGCAGCCATTTACTTTTCATGATTATTGACTGCAATTTTCAATAGCAAATTAAGTCAACAAGAATTTATGTTTTCCTCTTGGTTAATTTCAGTCAGTGTCTAGAAATATAGATTTACAATATCTCAAAGCAACAAATCAAAGGTGAACAAGCATTCAAGTGGTTTGATTTCCTGAAATGGTAGAAGTCAATGTAGTCTCCTTGTCCCACTTCTGCTGTGTTGACCAAATTTGCCAGTTGTAATAATATTCGTCATCCTCTCCACCTTTTGTTTCATAAATGTGGCTCTATGTCAATTTTTGTCACACAGCAAAACTTTAAAAAAACTCAACTGTTTCGGTCATTAACTTAATTGGTTAAAATTATTTAAAAAATATTTGCCAATGAATTTTTAAAATTGTTCTGACATGTAAAACCATTTTAAGACAGTTGTGATGCCTGATTAAAATAATGGTGAACATGTAGATTAGGATCTGTGTCCATGAGGAAGCTTCACAAACATCAACCTGCACTAAGTGTAATCATTACAAAGGCATTGAACTTTTTGGAATTTATACAAAGAGATTTCAAGCATTGCTGTGGCATCTATGAGAGGTGAATGGTTCATTGGCTCCACTACTTGAGCTGCCTGAGAAGGTAGCAGGGGCTGCAAGGGGAAGAGCTGTTTCCCAGGGGCAGTTGATTTGCCATTGGCTACTACAGTCATGCTGTGTCTTCCCATCTGCCGTTGTACACAGTACACTGTACACAATACAGTACATTCTGTGCAGTGGTCACCAGTCACCTGGCCCCCTTTCCATCTGTTTGGTAGTGACCTGGAACCATGGGGCTTTTAATGACTTCCTTGTTGAAAGACACCCAGGGAGCATTTTCTAGAGACCACTCTGTCACTGTTATGGCTTCTTACTATAAGAACAGTTTTTACCACTCTGGGCACCTCTTATAGTAGGCCAGAGGAGGACAGCAGACAGGAGAAGTGCATCATCACCCCCACTCAATGCTTCCGAGGTCCTGCTGATTGTTCAAGCTCCAAAGAAGGGGGAGGAACTCATCAGGGCCCTTCTGTTGGACGACAGGGAACTCTAGCTGTCATAGTCTAGTGTGGCATTCTTTGCTAGGTTTAGAATATTCATTTAGAAAAATGAATGTTGTCTCATAGAAATTTCCAAGGATTTAGTTTGAAGGATGAACAAAGCACAAAGGAGCAGAAAAAGCTTGAGGAGACGGTTCCCAGGATCAGAACCTCTGAAAGGCCCGTCCTTGCTTTGTTCTCCTTCAACTCCAGAGATTTTTTTGCAGACTTGGATTTGTTGGGTGAGCATAAGAACCTGATTCAGGCCCTTCCTGAATGATAAATGCTGCTAGGTAAACACTGCTTCGCAAACTACTACAAAGGCAGAAAGACTATAAAGACTAAGAGTTAAAAACACCATTTTATGAGAACAAATTCAAATTATTAGACACTGATGTAAGACTTGATCATCTCTCTTCCATGAAACAGGAAAAGTGACAGGTCATTGGGTCACATAAGGAGACTAGCAATGGGGACTGATGATATTGCAATGCCCCACTGCCCCCTGACTTTTCCTTTTGCCTTCAGGTGGCCTGAATTGGTCAAAGCCTGGGAACTGGAGAATTACTGCCACTACAGCAATGCCATTTTAGTCCATCCTCCTTGAAGAGGAGGAGGGCCCTGAAATGATCATGTTTGACCGTTGGGGAAGAAGCATGTCCTCCCACATGCCTGGCTCACCCTAGGGTGAAGAAGGTCAGCTTGCTCCATTGGAAGAGTTTCTAGTTCTGAGAACTCCAGGTATGTGAAGGGATGTTTCAGATCAAAGTTATACCAAGAAATACAGATGCACGTCACAAAGAGCTGCAGATCCTCAGGGAGAGGGGCAGTCGAGGGCCCAAATCTCCTTATTCTATCCAGTGGATCTAGTGGTAATTGGTCTTTTCCTACCCTTCATCTCAAAGCAACAAAGATCCAAACAAATGTGAGCTGATAACTTATTTCCGACATCTTATCTGTGGCAGATTGATGCCACATCACTGATGTTAAACAGTAATCTGTGAAATAAATTGTTAGCAGCCGTTAGCCAGATTGCCTCTCTGCTCTGGGCTGCTAATAGGCTCCAAAACTGGTCTTTGATGGAAGTAATCTCTGATGTTGAATGAATTTATGGCAATAATTATCCATATGGAACGGTTCCAGTAGCTGACATGATTGTTAGTTAAGTGATATTTACAAGACGGAAGAACCCGGTCCCAAGCTTGGTAGAAACAGAGAGTAGGACTTCTTCAGGGAAGGCTGGGGCTGTTTGAGTGAGGAGGGACAGGAGGCCTCCTGCCTGACTCTGGCACCTTCTTCAAAGAGGGAGAAAGGAGAGGAGGTGCCAGCTGATTGGAATTAACATGTCCATCCCTAGCTGGCTTTCCTCAACACAGAACTGCTCAGGGGGAGTGTCACTCCTAGACAGCTCATCTTTCTGGCCTCCCCAGACATGTCATTCCCATGGCCTCTGAGGAGTTCAGGATGTAGCTATTGGTACTCAAGCTTTGTATTAAGGTTAAGTAATGACACAAAAGAGGAAGCAGCAGCTGGGTCATCGTGTCAAGGCCAAGGGGTTGCTTTCCAGGGAAACTGTTTAATCACCATCAGAACTGGAAGCTGCTCAGAAGCAGGTGATCTGGTTCAAGGGATAGATGTCTCTTGATGCTGCCCCTTTTTAATTCATTTACTTCATTTTACCCTTCACTTAGTGCTAAAAGTTCACTGTGGCTGATTTTGGTGATCAATCTGAGTTGGGGTAGAGAAATGTTGCTAAAAAGCTCATGGTGTCACTCAAAATCTGGCAGCCTGTATTCAACCCCTTATCCACCCTTGTTAGACCAGTAGCTAGGGACAGCTGTCAGGACGAGACTAAGCAACTCCTGTTTTTTACCTACCGTTTCTCTGGGACAGGACCCCCCAAAAGGCTTCAACTGGGATTTGTAAGAGTCTGAACAATCTAAGTATCATACAAAGATAGGGCACACTCACTCTTTAGTGTTGGGAGGCCTGTGGGGTGGGGCTGGTGAAATGCAGGGGGGGAGCAGGCAGATAGTGGTGGCCTCCTCCAGGCGTTGCTTTTTCTCAGGGATTTTCTCTGCAACTTCTGTTGGCTTTAACAGGAAACAAAATACACAGAGTTTGAAATACATGGCACATGCAGACATTTAAAAACAATGAGCAAGGTGGACAGTTTGCTTCTATTTGAACTTCTAGATTAGGTAGGAGGGTTCAAGGTGCACCTTTGATCAGACAGAAAAGCAATCAGCCTCTCCTAGCCTACTTCTACCAAGAAGTTGGCATTTGAGAGACTTGAGCTTATGATGTGAACCTCTGATTAAAGAATGGGTGGCACAGGAATCTCATACCAAAAGTAAAGAAAGTCTATAATTTTCAGACACTTCTCCCATCAACAATGCCCCTACAAATGAGTAGTTTAGAAACTATCATTGCAACTTTCACATGGCATAAATCCTGCCCTAGCAGCATGGGGACTGTGGGTAACATATAAAGGTCACTTATACAATCAACAACATGCAAGGAAATTAACCATGTGCAAGGCACGCCTTTGCACCTCTGTGTGTGCTGGTTCTGAAGGTCCACTTTCACCCCTGGTTGTACTGTTGTCATCACTAAGAGTGGGGAAACACTGAAAAGGCAAGGGCCCAGAATTTGGTCCCTATTTTGGAATATTAAATTGAATAAGTGGGTGCATGGCGCAGAGATAATACCCTCTGTTTTCGAATCTGTAAAGCTGAGTGAAGACGTAAATCATCCTTGCAGTATAACATTCAGCAGTATGGTTTGGCCACAGGGAAAACTGCTCCCTAATGAAGAATCTGAGCCACTTCTGACCATTCTTAAGTCTCTTCTGGGAAGGGTCAGGAAAAATGGGGCAAGGATTAGGAATCTCCTCTAGCCACTAAGGGCAGCCATTAAAAATAATATTGCCCAGGGGCCATCCCCCTGGCCTAGTGGTTAAATTCAGCATGCTCCACTTTGGTGGCCCCGGTTCAGTCCCCGGGCACAGACCTACACCACTCATCAGCGGCCATGCTGTGGTGGCGACCCACATACAAAATAGAGGAAGACTGGCACAGATGTTATCTCAGGGGTAATCTTCCTCAGGAAAAAAATAAAAATAAAAATAAATATTCCAAAATATCATGCAAGATAATGTTCTTTTAAAAACTACCATAAGATCTGGAAATATAACAGAATGAACTTGTTAGATACAAATTCACTTCCCTAGGTGTATTTGAAATGGAAGAGGCCATTCTGGGTTTCACCTTCTGACTGTAGCTCTGGAATTCAGCCCCAATCTCTTGCAGGTGAGATTTTCACAAGTCAAGCTGACCACACAGGTCAGGGGGCCCAGCGGGCTGGCCAGAATGTGTGTCTAGTGGAAGCCAGGATAATCAAAGTGTAACTGGGTTGCAAGGATGCTGATGTTTGTCTAGAGAAATTAACAAGGCCCAGAGGATGCATTTTGACCTTAGGAGCACTTGGGTGCCCTGATGCTGCTGGGATGGGGGACTACAGAGTAATGACCCATGAGTCCGTGAAAGCAGGAGCAGCTTAAGGAGCTGACCCCAGGGACTGGCTGCCTGGGGAAGGAGACTCTCTTCATATTCTTTCTTGCTGCACATTATAACCCCTCATGTGCCATATTGGATATTCTTGACATTGGCTGCCAAACCCTGATCATTCCTAACACTTCCTCCCTGGTCGTGAGAAATATCGCATTTCCCATGGAAAACCTCAATGCCTTCACCAACGACTGCAATCCACTGCCATTGGCCTCCTTGAAAACAAGACTCAAGATCAAGTTAGCCAACAGCCAGCCACTGTTCATGAGCACTTGGCAGATCACATCAGACAGCTTACCTTGTGCTTACGCTTGCCCTTAGGGGCGGGTTTTTCTGCAGCTGCAGCAGCAGTCTGACGCTTGGGTTTTGAGGATGTCTCCTTGAGGTCTGGCTTGGCTGGCGTTGCTTGGAGTGAGTTGTGGCCAGGTATTCTAGACAGCAAGTCAAGGTCAATTTTCACCCAGAGATTTTTCAGATTCTCGTGATCTCGTAGAGGGGATAGAAGCTCAGTTTGCATGACAGGGATGGGTGAAAAAGTCGGCTCCTCATTACTGATGGATAAGTTGTTGCTGCTGCTGCTGATTAAGGTGCTGAGGGTCAGGCTGACACCACATGTTTCCTTGGATTTGGCAGTATTGCCCCCAGGAGCAATGCAAGGTGGCAGGACTTTGATCTGCAGGGTCTCTTCCTGATCTGTGTTGGAATCAGACGTAGACGAATCCGTTTCAATGAATTCCCGGGACTTTGGCACCATCTTGCCAGGCCCTCTATACTTCTTCTTCTCAGCAGCCAAGGGGATGTTAGGCCTTGGTTCTTTCCTAGGGACTGGTTTGTGGGCAGTGGCTTTGTTGCGGCCTCTTGGTGGATCAGGAAGCTCCACGCTTTCCTTTTCTTTGGGAGTGCTGCTGGTAATATTTGGTTTGGGCCAGGTAACCTCATCAATGCTGGTGTTCTTCTCGACCTTTTTGGGCTGTTTTTTCCCAATTGTCCTTTGAGAAGCTGTCTCAATAGTTGCTGACAACTTATGCTTCAAAGCCTTTGTTTCTGGAGTTTTCTGAGCAGGCCGTGGACGGGCTTTCTCTCTGATGAGACTGAGGAGAGGCCTCTCTTTGGGTTCAGCCAGGACCTGGCTGGGGGTTGTCTTCACTTTGACCTGGACTTCCATTGGTTGGATGATTGGAGGAGGCACTGATATTGTCTCCATGGGTGTTTCATTTTGCCCACAAATAAATGATTTATTCTGGGATGTCACTTTGTTAAGCCATTTATCCAACTGCCACTTGTTGGTTGAGGGTGGCTCAGGCTGCAGATTGAGAGATAGCAGCAAGAATGAATTTCGTGTTTGGGAAGAATTCAGGAGGACCCTCAGTGCAGTGACTGCAGATAAAAGCTTGGGATGTTAAGTGACCATTCACACATTCACAAACACACACAGAATCCACATAAACCAACTTACCTAGATAACCAAATACTCCAAAAACCAACCTGATCTACTTATTTAAACAAATTTCCACTCCTCTTTTGAAAATATTCTCCACTCTGGCTAGGAAGGAAAGAATTATTCACAGAGAGTTTTTTCAGAGAGTGAGCAGGGAGGCCTGGGAGGGAACCTGTTCCCCAAATCCTTTGGTGGGACTCATTACTCAACCTCTCACCAGGAGGCAGAAGTAATGATCTCTGGTCCTGAAAAGAAATGTAAGCATGCCTCAAGTGTAATTCAAAAGGAAAGGCTTTCTGTCTGCCAAAGTGCCAGTGCCTCCTATACAATGCTGTAATTCACTGCAAAAAGAACAGGCTTTTTGTATTCTTACTGAAGGATGAAAAGATTTGACTTCCAAAAACCACTGCACTTTCCTCGGTGTTTGGGCAATAACCAATTTATGGGGACATGCATGCAGACATTAGTGTCCACTATTAAGCCACGGAAATGATGCGTACAATTCAGGCGCTTGATTCCCAACTCGGAATTCTGCCTGTTGAACTAAAAGAGCCATCATTTTTATTAGAACTGCTCTTCTTTTGAAAGCCATGAGCTGAGGCTTATGACACCAGCCAATAGAGGGTGACAGAATTAAAAACGCCTGAGTAGCTGTGATTCCAACTTGCACAGGGCAATAGCAGGTAAGGGTCGAGGAAAGTATCAGCTGCCACTGTTGGCAGCAGAGCTCCAGGGTTAAGGGCACTGGCTGTGGTAACACACAGAGCCTGGTTTCAGTCCTGGCTCTACCACTGTCTACCTGTCAGATCTTGGCAAAGTGCTTTCTTACCGTCTCAAAACCTTATTCTCTCATCTGTAAAATGGGGATAATATCAAGGACTCCATAGGGTTGTTATGAGGATGAAATGAGAAAATACAAGAGCTTCCACATTCGAGAAGTGTTAGCTACTATTAATAGTAGCAACATTACTGCCGAATCTTCTATTATTCTTTTCTGATTATCGAAAAACAAGTGTGTAAAGAGCCATGGAGGGATCTGCTTGCTGTACAAGATGCAGGCTCAGGGGACCGAGGAGCTAGCCTGGACTCAGAGAGGATGGGAAAAGAAAGGCACATTTTTTTTTTATTTCAAAATTATAATTTTTGGATTTTATGGGGCTGTGTTAAATGTTTTCGTGATTTATTATCAAACACTCAAAGGATGCAAATTGAAATTAAAAAAAAAATGTGACCTTTCAACCATCACACTTCTTGGGTCTTACCTGCCAAGTGGCAACTCATTGCTTCAACCCAGAGTAAGGGGTGGTGTTCCCAGTCCAGAAGTGGGTCTTGACTGGCTTCACTGGTTCTCTCGAAAGAGAAGTTGCTAGCCCAGTTATTGTTATGCCAGTGATACCTGTGAGGAAGCTTGAGACTCAGAGCAGCTAAGTGAGTCACACAGCAAGTCAGTCATACAGCCAGAAATGTCTGTCTATTAGGGACTATACGAATATATATTTTAGAGGGAAAAAATGCTATCAAATACCTGAATACTTTTCTGAAGTATTTATTGTGCTAAAGTAATTATTTTGCTGAAAGTGTGTGTGTGTGCCTGTGTGTGTTCAGTGTGCTGCCTCAGAGACAGGGAAATTGTGGTTAGGGCCCTGGCCACTTCACTCACCTCTGGAGTGGCCACACGAGGTGCCTCATTGGATTCGCTGTCAGTCGTGCTGCTGTCAGTATCTGAGTCTGACTCGGAGCTGCTCTCTGAGTCACTGGAGCTGCCGGATCCCCCGCTGGCTTGCACTGCAGGTGGGGGCTGAGGTGTAGCCAAGAGTGGGCTGAAAGAAAAACGACATCATTCATTGCCTCATTCAGTCTCAAACCAGCTGGAACAGAGCCTAGCTCAGCATAAAGCTCTGTGATCTGGGAGATACAGGCAGAGGGAAGCATAGCACCCCATTTTACAGATGGGAAATGTGAAGCTCAGGAGCGAGTGCTCCAAGGTCAAACGTTTCATTAGAACCAGGTCTGCGTGTGTCCAAGTTCTTTAGGTTCCATCACACCTCCTTCCCTCCCAGAAAGCCTTGCCTCCCTCCCTCCACATGAGAACTTTAAGCTGAGGTTGCATGCCTTCCGGATGCATTTACAGACACACAACCTTAGATTCTTAATGGTCACATTTTTTTTTCAGTTAAGGTAATTGTTCATTTTCTGTTGCCATCTTGTTCAGAAACGCACAGGTTTGGCTAGGGGTTCTGATCTTAGCTATATACATGGTATAGTCCTCTCCCTATGAAGGGAGGCATTCAACCCTCATTTTAATTGGAAGAAACTGAGGTCCAGAGAAGGGGAGGGGTTTGCCTCTGCTTCAAGGCTAGTTAGAGAAGTGAGACTAGAATCATGGCCTTCTAGCTCCCTCAATAGGCAGGGGCTGTGTAAAGCATATTCACTGCCAGGTGCACAGCATTCAGCACCAAGGTGACCAGAGTTGACTGTATGAATAAGGGAATGAGAAGACGCATGTCTAGGCCTCCTCCACCATAATTTTTGTAAACTTTTTTGTAAAACTCTTATCAGGAGGTATGATCATAAGAGACCAACTATCTCTAATGATTGATTTTAAATTTGTAAAGCTGACCACGCAAAGCATTTGAAAATTGACACCATTTGCTACTCTGCCTTTATTGATAATCAATACTCTTCCTACTAATCATTTGCTCCCTGTGCCCCACAACAAATCAACCTCAGCTGCCTCTTGGCATGCTGGGGTATGTCATTGCCTTTCTGTCCTTTGGCCCATCCCCTCTTTGAAGTGAGTTTTGCTCTGCTTTCCCTCAGAAATGGAGCTCTAAACTCAGGGGAGGGTTCTCATCTCCCTCTGTCTCATCAGCCCAATCGCCTCTTCGGAGATAAGTTTAATCATGGTGAGGGGTGGGCTGGGGGCCCACCAATAGCTAGGGGCACAGCTATTTACTGCTGTGCTTGGGTTGGCCCACCTGTCTGCCTGGCTAGCCATCCGAGCCTCGCTGCCTCTCACACTCCCAGTTCCTTGCCTGGCTCTCCCCACTCAGCTCAGTCAGGAGAGGCCAGTCCTGGCCATGGAGGGCACCTGGTTCTGTGGCCTCACCTTCAAACTGGAGAAAGAAGGACCTTAAAGACCTCTCTGCCCGAGACTCTGAAAGCATAGAGCATTATTTCTTGCCTGCCCCCATCCCATGCCCTCCCCAGAGCCTATTCTTCTCCAACATTACAGCTCTCACCTGCTGAGCTGCAGCCATAGTCAGCTGCCGCTTGAGAAGGAATAGGATCCCTTTCAAGCCAGCATGGGCTCCTCGTCAGTCACTACCCAATGCAGAGAGCCTTTTCATTACATGTGCCTTGCGTCCTTAAAGACTGCTCCTTTAATCTCCCAGGTAGGTATTTTCTTTCATATAGCAAAAGCTCATTTTAAAATGCTATCTGCTAAGTAAATGCTGTCTGCAAGTACATTACTCTGCCAAATGTACCAGGAGATTAGGAGAAGCAGAAGAAATAGGGGACAATATTCCTTGGGAAAATGTGTGTGTATAAGTCTCTGTGTGTGTGTGTATATCCATGCCTTGTGTGTGTGTGTGTTTGTGTGTCTGTGCATGCATGTGTGTCTGTTCATGCGTGTGTGTGCACGCATGTGTGTGTTTCCGACAGTGGGGGCAGGGATCTACAACTCGGTGCTCTCATTTCCCTGCATTCCTTTACAGATCTCTCCTTAACGTCAGTAACGACTCCATATTTATGCAAAGTACTCCTTAAATCTAATCAATTGTTTTTGTCTTTGTTTACTAAATAAAGACTGAGGGAACATATTTAATGAGACTAATCCAAATATTATGCTAGCTTGGCCTCAATTCCCCCCAAGTAAAGTTTCGAATACAGCACAGGGCATCTGCAATGCTGAGACTACTGGCTGGTGGATTGAGAGATGAGATCAAACTCATACTCACATTTATGATTTTCAAGTGAAAATGCTGATTCTTGGTTTTCTTTCATATTTATGCATTAATTTATGGCTTCTCATAAAACCCTGTTCATCCTAACATTACCAACCTAGAGTTTGGATTTACTTTGGAATATTTCTGGTTAGAGTTTCTGTTTACTGGGTTATTTTTGAGCAACTTCTGTAAGAAACAAAAGAATCCCAGGGATTGTTCTTTCAAAACCGAATGTACTGGGGTGATATACATAAGGCACAGGTATTTTATTTATCAGAATCAACTTATTCCTCACATAAATCAAAATAAAGCCTTCACAGACTTAGTGGGAAACTTGTCTGTGTGTGTTTTATACAGCTGTTCCTTATCCAAAGCCCTTTGGAGGGCAGACGGATTTTGATATTCAGATTTTTTTAAATTTTAAAAAAGTAATATGGTGAATATACCATATACATAATACCCCCAGTGGGATCTGGGGAAGCACCCCTTAATAAAAGTTGTTAATATTGCTGCAGTAACATTCACAGTAAGAGGAATAAATAAAGACTTTAAATAAATATCGGCGCATCAGTTTAGGTCAGGTTTTGTCATCAAATGAGTTTGTCTCAAAGTTACTGAAAATAACAGTTCTCAGAATTGTCTGAATTTCAGAATTGTGTGAGTAAGGAATTGTGGACGTGGACAGCAACCATATATAAAAATTGACTATAACTATATGTATAAGTAAATACAGATATATTGGTATAGATACAAAATAAAGTCTATTTTAAATCTAAGAGTACCCTTGACTGAGACCCAATGAAATGAGACCTGAAATTATTTTCCCTAAGACTTCTTACAGCTAATCTATTGCTGTGTTCTCAGGGAGGACCCCCTGACCAATCAACATTGACAATGACCACTTAGAGGAATCTAATATAGAAAGAACAGGAAGAGGTACATTAGCTTTTCATACCCACATTGATGGACATAGATACTTGGGAATGAGAGCAAAGGTGGACTTGAATTCAGAGAGGACACCATGAGAACCCAAACTGGGGGTCAAGGACTTCAGCATCTTAATGAGAAAGAATTGCTTTCTCCAGGCAGTTGCACAGTTGGAAAGAGGGAGAGCCAGCATTTGTAGGAGGGAATAACAGTTGTTTACAATGGAAGCAAAATTCTCTCCCCAGTACCTTCCTATGCCCTTACTATCTATCTGCTGTTCCTGGGGTTGTTGGAGAATCTGGCTGCATACAGCCTGCTGAAGAATGTAAGCCACAAGTCTGAGGCTGGCCCTTACCTCCTGTGGGCTCACCAGGCACCCAGCTGGGGCCACTCCCAGGGACAAAAAGTGAGTAAAAAACCAAAACATTATATTCACAGGTAGGACAAACATCAATATCAGAATAATTGGCCTAAGGACACGTTCTTGTCTAGAATCCACCATGGAACTTTCAAGTTGGCAAATCATCACAATATTTCATTTTCACTTCTTCGCTGAAACCTGTTAGCTGTTCAGCTAGTTAAATTCCCACTTCTGCTACATTTATTTTCATACATCGCTAGTTTATTTTCCAAATGTATATTAAAGTGACTATGAGTGAAGCTGGCCCACGCAATACTTGATTCTGCCTAAGAGATGAAGGACTAATGTGCAATTTATACATTCTTCATTCATCAAACTGTATTAAAATTATATCTCACGCACCATTTACTCTCATATTTTAATAAACTACTTTTAAAAAGAATGCTGGTGGTTACAACAAAGATAATGTGTGGTACTGAAAATCATTAACATTTAATATATTAAACGGTCTACTCCATCGTCTGTAAATATTAAAAGTGTACTCTATGACTTCACCCCTAATGTAATAAAACTTCTCAAAGGACCCACATTTGTAACAACTTCAAAGTCAACTGCTCAACCTTTTCAGAGATCATATTTTACTATTGTATTCCTCAGAGTGAGCAGTATTTACTGAGTGGAGCAAAGCCTCATTTTAATCCTAACCCCATCTAGTAGGTCTTCATGGTCACAGGCCAGACTGAGGGCAACCAAGTTGGCTTAGCAAGTCAATGACTCTAGTGGGGAAATCTAGGGTTAGGGAGGAGGATCAAAGAGCATGCCGGTGGGAGAGAAGTTTGGGAAGCATTTAAGATGCCTTCTCCAGGCAAGGTTGGCCCTGGTGTGGAAGACTTGAGAGTACCAACGGGAACAGATGGGTTTTAAGTGGTAGTCGAAGTACCTTAATCTCTAGACATGACAGTCTCTCTTTGCTTATACTGACAAGACCTCTTCTGCAATAAAGGGCTCAATTTGTGACACCGTAAGATAGTCTGGAAGCCATATGAAGGAACTGGGACTACTTTGCCTGGAGAAGACTCTGGGGTGGGGAGGAGAGTGGTTCATATGATGATAGTCTTCAAAAAACCTGAAGGTCTGTCCTGTGGGAAAGGAAGTGGGCTTATTCCGAGGGCCTTCCAAGGTAAAACTGGGGCCGATGAGTTAGGGAACTAGTCAGGAAGATTTCACCTCGACATCAGGAAAGACTTTTAAAAATCTACTGCTGACCACAGAAAGAAGCCACTACATTGTAGGCCAGTGAGCTCGATACCCTTAGGTGACCAGATAGCAGGCAATAAAGACTGTGGTAGAGGGATTCTTACTGTGGGTCCAAAGTGGGGTTGGATGATCTTTGAGGTGTCTTCCAATTCAAAGATTATGATCCTTACAAAACTAAAGTGTATAGGGGATTTTAAGGAAGACTGTTTATGGACCTTAGAGAAAATGTGTGAAGAGACATTTGCACAATCCAATCCGCTCCTTAAGGCAGTTCTGAAAATGACCTGCTCTTGACAACACTTTATCAGTCATAGAGCTCTTATGT